TTAGGGAGCTATCAGTGTAACTGTATTGATGGATATCAAATGAATAACACTGGAATGTGCATAGGTATGATGTAATTCCTATATATTGTATTGTATTTCCATTGTATTATAGATATTGATGAATGTGTTTCTGGTACACTCAGTTGTCAGCAGAGATGTATCAATACTGAAGGATCCTATAACTGTTCTTGTTATGATGGCTTTATGAAGAGATTTGAATTATTTTGTTTTGGTACGTTATTGTAATCTATAATTATTTAAAATTGACATGTTTATTCCAATAGACATTAATGAATGCTCTAATGATCTTCACAATTGCTCCAGTGATCAAGTGTGTCATAATACAGTTGGAGGCTTCAGTTGTTCATGTAGAGAAGGATTTGTTTTTGGAAGTGATAGAGTGACTTGTAAATGTAAGGATTAAGGGATTGGGATTACATGTACATCCTGTGTAGAAAGTTTGATGCAATTTCAATAAGTTATGGACATCTGAAAAACATATAAGTTTTGTTATGGGCCATTATATTTTATGATTTTTGTGTCATTGTATTTTCTGAAATATTATGCTATTAAAAATGTCTTCATTGTTTTTATTTAGTACAACCATGTCATGAGATACTACTGCCACCATTCAATGGTAATGTATCCTGTCCTACTGGTAGCACTAATGATACTTGTTCATACTCCTGCAACACTGGGTATCGATTAATGGGTGGTTCTTCACAGCGTACATGTCAGTCAAATGGTCATTGGTCTGGAAGGTCTCCTTCGTGCTCACCTCTTCCTTGCCAAATGTTACCAGCACCAGAAAATGGTTATCTACAGTTACCTTGTGCTGGTGTGTATCAGTCACAGTGTACTATAAGGTGTTTTGATGGATATTTACTCACTAATGCTAATAATACTGCTGCGTTTGCTAGTCATGTAACTTGTGGTCTTACAGCAAATAATGAAACCAAATGGAGTGATGTTCAAAGTTGCATAAAAAGTAATGTCTTAAGCTAGATTTCCAGCTACCACAAAACTCAACACAAAATTGAAATTTTGCCAATTTTGCACTAACTTCAAAGCTTTGTCAAGGTCAAAACCACCCACCCTGTCTTAGCCACTATTATACATTTACATTGGCTGTATAAAAACCAGGCTTTATGCTTTCTATTATTTTCAATTAAACTAGCACTATAAATTTAGTTATTGCATCTAGTTCATTTTTAAATAAACAGCTTAATAACATTAATTAGCTGTTTTATCATTAAATTTTACTAGTATTCAAGTATTGATGATGTACTATTATTTTTATTGTAGGGACAGTTGCATGTTCTACTAATCCCTGTCTTCATGGTGGAAAGTGTTTACATGCTGATAATCATAATGGGTTTGTATGTGACTGTACTGGTACTTTATATGAAGGAACAACCTGTGAAAAAGGTCTTGTAGTTATTGATCCAATTGGTTCCTTGAGAACACGTACTTTTAAGATGATTGTTATTAGAGCAAAACCTGATCAGGAAACTGCGTATCGTTTGAAAGATTGCAGTTTTGGTGGAAGTTCCAGTTATTTTATATTTCCTTGTAGTTTCATATTAAGTAAAACAAAAACTAATCAGAATCTGACTTTGGCTGGTCTAACTCCTGGCTTGTATTATCTTAGGATTGTCATTAATGGTGTTGATGCTCCACCTGTCCCATTTATTATATCTGGATCTGACTCTTCTCCATATTTTGATAATCCAGTTCTTGAAGGAGTTCAACCAAGTTGCTGTGGAAACACTCTTCAAATCTGCACAGCTCAACCCACTGTGTTAAAATCATCTTGTTCATGGAACACGATGAGTAAAACCCATATAACAAGAGGAATAGTATTTATTGAATACGATACCTTAAAAGTGCCTCTTTCATTGGCTGGCCTAGAGATAGCAGCAAATACTACTACTCTACCACCTAGTGATAGCTCTGTTACTTGTAGCAGTAGCAATAGTTCATGCAGCCTGACTCCTCTTAATCAATTAACTATATCTACCGGAAGTTGTTATCAACACATGCCAACCCCTGGAGATGTAAGCCAGTTTGTTAGTAACCAGTCACTTACAGTCACATTTCTGTCATCAATCAGATCAAGTCTTTTCCCAAGTTGGTTTTCCCTTGATAAAGCTGAAGACATGAATGCTCTTAATAAACTGAGTAACACTGACTATCTTGCTAAACTAGTATCATCGGATTCACTATTGACTGAAAGAGGCTGTGAATCATTAGTCATTGAAAACACTCAAGGACAGTTCATTCTATTACAACACAATGGACCACTTAATCTTTCAATCATAAATGAATCAGCCTCACCTTTTATACTACAGTCTCCAGCATTGTCTAACTATTACTGTATTGCTGTTCATGTGTGCTCAGGTCAGAGTTCACCAGTTCACATTGGACTGCCTCCTTCAGCTCAGGACAGTATTAAAAGGATTAGCTTTATCTTCAATTATGTCAATAAAGGATAGACCTTTAACTTTAAGAGTGCTACTTTGACTAAAATCCCTCAAATAAAACAATTGAGAACAAAACTATGGAATAGTATTACATACAATAGGACTTCTTCAACCACTAATATTCAGTATGACACTTTAGTTAACATGGAGACTAAAGGACAATATTCCTATGAAATGACAAATGTTAACTTGAATTTCAGTGGATTTGTTTGGTACAATTATGTAACAAATGACACAAAGGTAAAGAACTGCTTATCAATGCTCCATTATTATCATTATTTCCCATAGGCTAATATAGCATTACTTGAAGGAGACTGTACATTGAGGGTTATATCTCAAATAGGTGGATCAATGGAGAAACTAGAACTAAAGCTTAGAACTGCTGATATCTCCATATATTATCAAAGTATTATAACTATTATTATTGATTTAATAAGTTAGTTATCTATTTTTACAGTGTCATCAACAACAACTTGGTGTGCAACACAAGGTCCATCAAATGGAGTATCATTCAAACTAGCATACACTCCACAAAAAGATCAGCCATTTTATCTCAGTGTACTGGAACTACCTTTTGATACTAGTCAGTGTCCAGTTGATGTATTCCTTAGCTTGAACAGTAGTCAAGATATGAATGGGCTGAGTTTCTATTCAGAATGTCTCATTGTATCATTTGATGCATTGTTATTCACCAGTCTATCTCACAGCATGTATATTCCAATGGATAATGATACATTATGTGTTAAACCTCATAACTTCACTTCTCTCTTTCCAAATGTCAACTTTGGCCTCCTTATTAATTCTTCATTGGATACTAATCAGGTAAGACTGAATAACTTCATTCAGTTATTACCAGGTTATGATGGTACAGCAGTATCTTTTGGTTTCTACAAACACACCAATGAGAGAGTGGGTCTAATTCATTCTGCTGATATAACAATGTTTGGTGTAACTTTTGAAACACCAGCTAGATTACGTGGCAATACTCTCACCTTTGATACAGTGACTGGTCTATTTAATGAAGAGTTTTACACTGCACACCTTCAAGGACTAGCAAGTACCAGCAGGCAATGGAAGAATATAATATTTAATGTTGAAGGTTGGTTTCCTAAGAGTAGTGGTTCATTTGCAGAGTCAATACAGAAGAGTGTGAGAGAGAATATGAGGAAGTTAGGGGAAGCAGCTAACATGAGGAAGGAGGGAGCTGATGATCGATTAGCTGATGCTATAACTGGAGTGAATAGAGCAGCACAACAACTGGCACAAGCACACGAAGCAGTAACCAATTCTTCATATAGTCTCAATCAAGCAAAAGCTGATCTTGTAAGAGCAATGAATAAGTTGAATGAAGCTAAAAGAAATGTGACTAACGCTGCAAATGAACTTAAGGAAGCAGAAGCAGCAGTTGCTAATGTATGCCAACAAAGGACATGTCAAATGGAGTGTCAAAATGCTACAAGAGTTTATGATGATGCATATCACACAACACCTTGTGTTGCATCATGCCTTGTCTGTCAATATAACGCTACAACTAATAAGAATACTGATAAATATTTTGATCCTTGTGGTAGGAGGGCACCCAATGCAGCCTGTGTTGCTATGAACGTTGCTTGTAATAGAGATAGAGAAACAGCACTAAGAACACTTGAAATTATAAGGATCCAAGAGCTTGTTGAACCACTAAGAGAGAGAAACAAAGCAAGAGAAGCAGTGGCTCTCCTTGAAATAAGAGTCAGCCAAGCTGAGAGGAACATTGTATCAGCTGTAGATAATTTAGCATCAGCTCAAGTATTGTATGATTTATCAGTTGCTTATAAAGACTCAGTGAATGCTAGTCACAGTATGATACTAGAAGAAATAAGGACTGATCTACACCTGTATGATATAACAAGGAAGAATGGTAATAATGTGTTTATAGTCACTAATGTAACATTTTCAGTATCAATCAGTGAAATAAACAATCCATCAACATTCCCCATTACAATATTCTATAGCTCTCAAGAAAGAAATGGGCAGTTTAGTTATAGGTATCGATTCAGTGCTCCCTTCTCATCACAAGAAGAGAATTTGACAAATACTATAATTAATGATATGGTGTTCTAATGCATACAACTATACATGTACGGGTACAGTATTATTATTACTATCATTGAATGATAATTACAGCATTGCTATTATTAGTTATTCTTGTATGCTACAGTATTTTAGAATTTTTTAAATAGTGTATTGACACACAATTTTTGTACGCACACACATTTATTTAAAAAAGGTGTTAGAGTTTAATGAATTTTTTCAATAGATATGTTTTGACATGTTGTTTCTGGGTGGGAAGCGCTACTGAAGCATGCAGCCTGTCACACTAATTAATGTTTATAAGATCTTATTTACCAACCTTTTATGGAATAACTTGTGTGAAATAATGATTATGTATCACAATAATAACCACAATTAATTTTGCAGTCATTCCTTGCATTCATTTATAATTTCTGGGTACACCCATTTGACATTGCATTTTTGCTTCTCTGAGCAGCCATGAAAGCTTCAACTCTTTCCTTTCTCACACTAGCAGTCATTGCTTCATTGCTTTCTTTGGTTAATACTCAATCTCTCATCTCTTCATCTGTACCTGATCCAGTGACTCATATTGCTGTTAGTGCCAATGGAGTGTTTGTCAGTACAGACACTCACATCTACAACTTCTCATCTACCCTACAACAACTAGGAGCTCTTGGGTTTCATGGTGGTGTTGTTAAAGGAATAGCCAGTACAACAGATGGTGAATGGTGTGTAGTATGTACTGAAGAATGCGGCTTGAATCTATATCTAACATGCTCAGTTCTCAAAGGATCCAATCTTTCTACTTCTGCGGTTGAAGGAACTGCTTCCAAATCTAGATCTAGTCTTGCTGTTTTTACTGCTACTGGAGGTGGTGGTAGCAGTTTTTATATGGGAAGTTATATCAATCATCACATTCTATATTATCAGTATGGGTTTCCCGGTAATACCCTGTCAAGAGCTACAAATCGACTGCATCAATTATCTGGTTCTAACTTTCATCGTACATTTGTGAAAGGTTTCTTTGCTTTGGGATATGCCTATTATGTTACTCTTGATCCTCCAAAACGAGGTACCACCAAACAAATTCGTATAATAAGAGTATGTAATGACAGTGCAGCCAATGACTTCAGCAATCAATATGAACTGACTTTAGGTTGTGATGGTCAGGATTCATTCTTCAATCCTACTTTGCTTGATGTATCAGTCATTGGTGAAGAATTATTACTGATTGCAATAAAGACTGGCTCATCGGCAGATGTGTGTTCATATGCCTTATCTGAGATTAATTCTTTAATGGATGCTACTTATGAATCTTGTATAGTCAGTGGTACAGGCAACAAGAATATTTTCTGGCAGCAGTTTGCATCTTGCTCAGAGAAGCTCTCAGGAAGTATTGTAAGATATATTTATTTTATCTTTAAGTATGCTTTTTCTTTAACAGTGTGGTATATCAGATTCAAGATCTCGAAATCCAGCTCCAGCAGTTGGTGTTTCAAGTATCCTTTCTCCCAAAAGACTAATCACTAACAATACAATACTCCATGGATTAAGTGCGATCACTGGAATGAGAATTGAGGATATTAATTTTATCTACTTGGCATTTGTTGCCGATGGCATTCACTACATTAGCAAAGTCAGTGTAATAAAATTTTGCATGCTTGTACATTACATTTAATAATAGTATCAATGGAGCAATATGGATCTAAAGTTTTTAAAAGAAGTTATCGTAACATCATCAATAACTTCATTGTCTTGGTCTGAAGGCTCAGAGTATGTGTATGGCATCAGTGGATCTAATGTAAGGCTGTCATACATCTGTACTAGTCTAAGTAAAAAACTTAGTATGTGTATGACTATAATGTCATCATACCTAGCATACAAAATATTATACTGCATACTAGTAGTATATTAGCTGAGATAATGCATTATTAGACAAATTTAATTAGTATTGCTACTGTTGTTGTAGTTACAAATTACGTGACTCAATAACAACCAATTTACATTCCTTTGATACCCTCCCCTTGTAGTGTTGTTAATTTTCAGAAATTTTACTTTTTTATTGAATTACGTTAACTTTAAAAGTTTAAGTCGAAATTAGCTTGGGCTACAGGATATTTTTCAGAAATTTGGAGATTTAAAGAAATGGTCATTATTTGAAAAATTTACATGTGTAGCTTAAGCTTTTTACTTAGCATCAGAACCTCAATATGTATCAAAAAATGTAATAAAATTTGGGGGTGATTTTGGAGCCATTTTTTGGAAAAAAGCTTAGTACAGGGTATTTTCTGTTACACACATCACTTATATACATGTATTAGGTGATTGCATTAAAGATAGAGGATTGTTCCAGTGCTACTAGTTGCTCTGAGTGTGTTAGTTTAGGTGATCCATCTTGTGGTTGGTGTATGATAGAGAACAAGTGTTCACGTAGACCATTCTGTCAGGATAATAATGAAACAAGACGATACCTAACACAAGGAGACAGTAATAGTTGTATTAATGCAATGCACATTCAAACTACTTACGTAATAGACACATATCAACAACCATATCAGGTAAGCTACCTGTATGTGCACCAGCACTATTGTTTTTTGTTTGTTCTTTTAGATCAACTTGTACTTCTCACTTCCTCCTATGCTACCAGGCAAACAGTACTTTTGTGTTTTCAATGGTATTATGAGTCCAATAGCAGTATCTGTTAATAGCAACATTAGTTCCTGTTCAGTGCAAACTATAGTATCCCAAGTTACAGATATACAATTAGGTATACAACTGATAAATAATACATTAAACTATAATGTGATAATGTACATTCTAGATACTACCTTTAGTATATACAGTAATAGAACTGGCGTTCACTTCTATACAAGTCCTGCTAAAATTACCTTCTATAATTGCCCTACTGCTACAAGGTACAATTAGTTGGAGCTTTGTCTGAATGTAATAAACTCATTTTTAGGTGTGGTGAATGTGTCCAATCTAAAGTATGTGGATGGTGTCAGTTAGATTTTACTTGTTCTGGGAACAATTCTTTATGCACTGCTGGTAGCTGGTTAAGAGTGAGTATTACTCAATTATTATATTGATGATTATTATTGATGTTTTTATAGTTATCAAATGCTGAAAATGATATTTGTCCTTTCTTACAACCAAATCCGCTTACGTCTGATGGTAGATACACTCAACCGGCAAATGTGGTTAAGAATTTGGCACTTTCTACTGCCAATACACAGGTTTACTTTGTTAATGTAATTCTATGATATTCCACTATAGCCACTATAGCCATGCATTATTTTACTTATATCTTTTAGTTCAAAACTGGTCTCAGTTATGAGTGTGTATATGGTACTGTTACTCGAACTGCTACTGTTAACAATGACAATATGGTGACATGTATTAACGATCCTGTGGTGAGTAATAATAAGATGGTTACTACTAATGACTTAATATTTTATAGTTAACAATTGAAGGAGGAGTTGGGACTCAGAATGTTCCATTGAGTATCAGACAAGTTTATAATCGAAACAAGTACACAATAGAGACTAATTATAATTCCAAGCTAAGTGGTAAGCTTGCTTTTAAATAAACATTTAATTTAATCAATTGTCCTTATATAGTAACATTATATGATTGTCCATTGCTCGCTGCTGACTGTTCATCATGTTTATCACAAAGTGCAGGATTCAATTGCAGTTGGTGTACTAGTAGTAATGAATGCAGAGACGCTAGTGATTGTAATGATATCAGTCCTATTATGAGTACTAGAAACTGTCCTTTACCTGTCATTACTGACTTTGATCCAAAGGCTGGTCCCCCTAGTGGAGGAACAGTTGTCACTGTTAGTGGCAATAATCTTGGAGCTAAGTTTTCTGACATCGAAACTGTTAGAATCGGTCATAAGAACTGTAGGATTAGTGAGTATAGGCCAGCTGATAAAAGGATAGCATGCATTATTCCTGCTAGTAATGAGACTAGAGACAGCAATGAAACTGTTGCAGTTAGTCTGAGATGGTCTAATGGCATAGCAATTACCAGTAGCTCACTACAGTACCAGTTCATAACACCAGTCATTCAATCAGTCAGTCCTACATTTGGCCCTGTCAGTGGTGGTACTAAAGTGATTGTTAAAGGCACTAACCTTGATATTGGCAATAAAGAAATGACTCGAGTGATCATGACGAAAGATCAAAAAACAAAAAAAACATGTCCTGATGTTCAATGTACTGTATTGTAAGTACAATTTATATTGCTGTTATCATTTAGTATTGTGTACAATAGGAATATTGCTCATACAGAAATTACTTGTATTACTGCTGGTACTAGTGTATATGACTGTATGAGGAACGTAATAGTATCAATCAATGGAGCTTCCTTTTCTAATAATACAATAAAATATCAATACAAACCAGATCCTATAATCAATAGTGTCACCCCAGTGAATACAATCCCTGCGTAAGTATGGTCTGTATAAAGTGCTTTATGTTGTTTTTCTTATAGTGGTGGCATTCAACTCATATTCACTGGCTCAAACTTTGATTCAGTTCAGTCCCCATCCATTACCATTAATGATAGTAGATTGACTCCCAGTAGTGTTGAGGTCAGTTCAAGTAATGATGATTAATTGTGTACTCTTAATGTGTTATTTTTATTTAGCCTTGTGTCACTAATGATACCAACACACTGATATGTAATGCTCCTAAAATTACTAATGTGACAGACAGTGGTTACTATGGGACCCACATTGAGTATAAGCTGATGTTAGATGGAGCAGATACACTTAATTCTTTGGGTGCTGGTTTGAGACTAACACTTCAACCTGATCCAATATTTACTGGAATTGATGTCAATTCAAGATCTGTACCAGTTGACGACAGGAAAAGTACACTTGACAATGAGATTGCTGACATCACTATTAAAGTTAGTTAATAAATAATCAGAGTTGTCTAGTATAGTACTATAGTACATAGTTGTGGCCAAATTTTATCAAAATGGTTAACAGAAAGCTCTTAATTTTTGTAACTTTTTCCAATGCCTATACATGTATTTTAGACCCTTCCCACCTACAGTCATTGCATGGTGTGGATGGTTGCCCAAATGGCTGTAGGCTGGGGAATGGTCTGGCTAGTGAAACCAATGTATTTATGCTGCGTAAAAAGTTTGACCTAATTCTAATCAAAGCTTAATTTTTACAAATTTTAAAAGTTACTCTAAAATTGGGCCAAAGTCTCTGTACCAGGGTTTTTGGCTACAATTTGCAAAAAATGACTATGAAGAATTCTTCATTTTTATAACTTTTTTTATGCATATGCATGTAATTATATTGTGTAGTAAGTTTGCTGATTGATTAATTAAATTAAAAAAAAATAGTTAAGTTGCTGACAAAGCCATGTCATATAACTGTAATGCTTTCAGCTCATAAAGCATGCTTTTTAGTTTACTTAGCGTGCTTTGTGGAAAAACCTTATTATAATGCTAATTTGGCAAATTTATCACTTTAGGGAATGAATATAAGGTCTGTCAGTCATTCAGAGATTGCTATTACATTAGGAGATGATATGTGCATTGTTAGATCAACTTCTGATACTGTGAGTGATTTCAAATAGCCTAGCTAACTCTACCTTATAATAGGAAATTAATTGCACTCCACCAGACAAGCAATCAGGCACCACATTAACACTAAGAGTAAGAGTTTTTATTACTGTCACTACATGCATCAACTATTACATAGATTAGAGTTGGAAGGAATCTAGAGTTTCCAATAACTGGTAGCAATGGCTCTGAATGGACTCTCCACTACATTACATCTGGTGCTACTGTTGAAACTCTCGTGTCTGAATCTAAACCTATCTCAGTCAACGCTATTGCTGGAGGAGCTTTTGCCATTGTTATATTGCTGATTGTGGCAATATTATTGATACTTGCCATTCGTATTTTAAAAACAAGACTATACATAAATAGCATGAAAGAAAGGTAAACTAAATTATCATTATTAGTACAATAATAGTCTTACTCATTCAATTTTAGACATGAAAATGGTGATAAAGATGATAAAGAAATTGATCAAAAGGATCAGTTGAATGAATAAAATCAAAGAACTCAAGCCATCAGTGCATTACCTTGCTCAAAAGTAACAGCTGATAAAGTCATTGTGTACTGTATTGTTATTGTTGCTGTATACAAATTTTTGTACTAAGAATTAATGCAGTAAAAAAGTTTTGATAAATAACTATTTCTACTTAGCACAAAATGATCATTCAATAAGTAACAGTAACTCTCAAAATCTTGATGAAAAAAGTTTAAACTGATTGCCATTGTAAAATAATTGAGAGCAATTATGCATTTTTTTCTTCAAAAAGTTTATTTCATATTAATATACTTTTTATATTTAGAAAAAACTGTGGACCCCAAAACGGCTACATTTGGACAAATAGTTAATTCTTCAAGTTCAGAGGTTTTTCATAATTTTATAACCTCAGTAGTCTTGCATGCATATGGCCAAACCATGCCCTCCCATCCACAGGCACAAAGGGCGTACACTATCTGGCCACCCACCTAAGACTACTATACAGTACTTGATGTAGGAGTGTGTCAGAGTGATGCAAACATTGCCACTACTTGAATTACAAGCTTTATATCATAATACAGTATGTACAAACAAACATAACTTGTATCTGAACAGTGAACACAGTATGTAAGTAGGTGTCTATATTGCGAGATACCTTACTTAGGAATGATAAGGAGTGGTACACTGTGGTTGCTGCAATAGTACATGTAACTGGAGCTATATTAACATCAAAGGCCCTTCACTGGTTTCTGTACATTAGATACTTTGTGGTAGTGTAACTGGAGCTATATTGAGTCTATACATCAAAGGCCCTTCACTGGTTTCTGTACATTACATACTTTGTGGTAGTGTAGCTAACTGGAGCTATATAGAGTATGCACATCAAAGGCTCTTCACTGGTTTCTGTACATTATATACTTTGTCCCGGTAGATCTAGTGTAGCTAACTGGAGACTGTGGAGAGAATCTACACATCAAAGGCCCTTCATTGGTTTCTGTACATTACATACTTGTGGCTTCTATGATGATATAAAAATGGTAGACAGTAGGAGCTGAATTCATTGTATTAGAGAAACAACTAAAACCAGTATAATGGGATCAGGATTGCTGACAGGAATCATACTAGTAAGATACAATATATGTGATAGTGTATGGTACTATCTTTACAGGTTATACCAAACTAGAAAGCCTAAGACAGGATGTGTACAAATGTATGCTCATTGAGAAGGTAAAGTATAATTATGTTTCTTATGAAACAAACATGCAGTTGTTGTTTTTAAGGTAAAGACACCATCAACTTAAATTAATCACAAAGAAAGAAAAAATAAGGCCAAGAGCATTTACCAATAGAAAGAAACAAATGGATCTCAAAAATAAAAGAAGCACAGCCCAATGGTAAGCACATGTAAACCACTAGCTCAACCATAATTATTGTTCATTTCATACTTTTTCAGGTAACTTACACCTTCTTTCAGACAATAAACCCTCCCCCCTACCACCTGCAGCCGCCCCGCACACATGTATCTACATGTTATACAAATGCTCTGTCACTCCTTGATTTGTACCCATATGGTACACAAAATGGGGGCACCATGAGGACTGGATCTAGTCTCCCTGAAGTACTATCACAGCCTCCAATTAATAATTTACACAGATTTGGTCAAGCTGGACTATTGGAGCAAGATATACAGTTAGTAGCTTCTCAAATAAATACAGACACACACACTTATCAAATAATAAGTCATAGCATAATAGCTAATTATAAGATGACAAATAAGTAATAACAATAATGAAGTGGTCATAAGTGATGGTCTTTTTAAAATTTAAGATACAAGAGAAAAAGTGAGCTTTAGAGATGAGGAGAGATGATTGTGGCCATTGGTTAATTGCAGAGGGATAAAATGAATTTTGGTAAGTCAAGTGATTTGAGAGAGATTGCCTTTATATAAAGTGATAGATTATAGGAGCTCAATTCACTGAAATAGAGAAAGAAATAAAATCAGTAATAATAGGATTAGTTCTCCTAACAAGAACCATGCTAGTAAGATACAATATATGATAGTGTATGGTACTATAATTATCTTTCAGGTTATACCTGAGTACATGTTATACAAATGGTCTTTCCCTTAATGACCTGTACCTATATAGTATAGAAAATGGGGACACAATGAGGACGGAGAAAATAGTCTCTTTTATACACCATTACTGGCTCCAATCAATAGCATGGTCGCATTTGGTCCAGCTGGACTTATACCAACAGAACATGAGGTTAGTATAGTTCCACACACAAGCACACACACACACACACACACACTATTAGTGCTTTAGTTTGCAATGTAGTGCAATTGTACACTAACCAATATCTGTTCACTTTATTAGTAACACAATTTATTGATCATTTCTTAGTTTAAAACATTTATTTATACTATCTAAATAGATTAGCTGCAAGGATTGATTTTTCCGATACTAAGGTACGTGGTAGGACCACTGCTGAATGCTGATTCAGCTTTGATAAAGAAAGCAATGGATTAGATTAATGAGGCTGATACTTTCTGCAGTACATCTCCTCCTGGATGGATTATCAAAAAACCGACATACAACAAGTTAGTATGACAAAACTGTTATTAGCTAGCTACTTTATTATTTTTAGGGTAGTAATTTTCAGTTAATAATTGCTACTAATGGACATTTGGTATTGCTTTTTATGTTAATGCACACCTTACAACAGCAATTAGCACTGGAATAGCTTCACACATCAGCAATAATGTTGTGGAAGATCCCTCTCTTTTTTGAATTTGGTACTAATACTACCAATGCTCATAGTATGATACTCAGTAGTAACATATACCAGGGACATATATGTTTTCACTCAACAATCAACAACAACAAGGTAACTTTGATTAAATAGTGTATCAATTTACATTCCTTGTATATCTTCAGAATTTTCCTGCTCTGTTTGCTAATCCTTATGTGAGGCAATACTGTGTTAATTGGTTGTGAAAGAGAAGATACTTTTTACATGAACAATAATGATTTTATTTGGTCATAATACTAACACACATTATGTTAGATACCCAAACACAGTTGATCTTAATAATGCCAGTATAATAATGTTGTATTATACCTAAGTAAACCTTATACTTAGGAATGAAAAGAAATGGTAACACTCTGATGTGGTGGCTGCAATTAGTGAACTGTATATTGAGTACACATCAAAGGTCCTTCACTGGTTTCCGTATTACATGCTCTGTGGCTTCTATTAATTATTGTTTTAGTGCTTGCTCTGCAGGCTCAGACTCACTCTCTTCTTCATTCCTTGCCAATCATGGGATTCTTATCTAGATTCTAGACTACAGCCTTTACTAAACCTGCTTTGATATTTCTGATTGCTTTTACAATAATTAGCTCTCTTTTTGTATTCGCGATATTCCAAACATGGATGTCAATTGAATGTGGTCAATCAAGGCACTGAATTGTCAATAGCCTAGATGATTTCAAAAATATAAATTTGAAGTACAAAATTAACTGTATTAAAATATGTTTGGATTGTTCACCATCCACCATCAGTATCAAATCTGTGCTGGTACATCTGTACTACTTGTATAGTATGGTTTCTCAATGGTCACTATTAATGATATAGATCTACCAGCTTCATCTAACAGCTGGTTTAAATAACAGATACATTTCTTTCTTGATAGTACATTAATCATATTTGTAATAACAAAGTACTGAAAAAGGCAGCTTTTTGCAATAGATGATAATAAATATCAATACTGCTTTCGTAAAAATTTTGGAAAGAAGTCCCATATTGCTAGACAGTGAAGCTGGTAGTACATGTATATCATTGTTAGGATTAGTGTTAATACATCATTGTTGTTGTTAAAACCACCACAAAAATTTAGCAGCAAAATTATTATTTAAAAAAGCACACAATTATTAGTTTTAATGCAAATCATTCACTTATTTTTCTTTGCAGCATTAGTGTCTTTAAATCAGCACACACAAAAATTTAGCAGCAAAATTACTATTAAAGAAAAAAGCACACAATAATTAGTTTCAATGCAACTTGTTCAGTTATGTTTCTTTGTGGCAGCAGTGTCTTTAAATGCCTTCAGTCGCACTTTTCTACCCATACTAGCGAGCACAACAGCAATCACAGCAGTCATACCTAAAGCTGTTACAGAAAGTACTACTATAGACAATCATTTATAATAATGACACAAACCAAGTATATAGGTGAAATAAGTGTATATTCCTCCAACAGTGGCACATATGACAGCTCCAATAGTCATTACCCATACTCCACGCTGGTTACCAGTCTCACTGTATCCTTCCTCATAAGCCATTTGTTCAGCCCATGGTACAGCGAAAGATCTCACAGCATCAGTCATCCCCTTAGAAGTGCTCATTATTGTTGCAAGGGTAGGTCCAATTATATTGTATCCTGTACGTGTGACTGGATAATCTTTGCTATAGTGTTTAGCAAAGCTCATGTCTGCTAGCATTATTTCAGGAGAGAGGTACCCTTGACGAAACAACTCTGTGCATACATATTTTCCATTCTTTTTCTCCTCCTCACAGACTATTGTTGACGAAAATCCCAAAGCAGCACAAGTTGTCCCAGCTAATCCACATACTGGTGCTGCTACAAAAGCAGTAAATATTGCACCAACAAAGCAACCAGCAGTGCCAACAATGCAGGCACCAGTAGCAATGCGTGTACCAGTACAGCCTCTTCCTTCTTTCTCTACTAGATCTATAGACACAGCCGAGTCTTTTTCTCGACAGACAAGTTCGGTCCCTCCAGTTTGTGCAGCAGGGCAAATGCGAGTCACGCTGTATTCATTTTTTGATGTTCTACACGTTGCTTCTAGTATAAAACCATTCTCCAATGGAATGATAACTGATTCTGGCATTTTAGCAACAGTGTAATTATGAAATTCTTTCCCATACTTAATATTAATGTGAGCATTATCACTACACTTCATTTTGCCTTTATCCATTCCTTCAGAACTCTCTTGCTCATCAATGGATATTACATACTTTAAGAAGTCCACTTTCTTTATTTCGGTTACTGCTGGACTAACTGATGTTACACCTCCTTTTGATGTACTTTGAAGGTTCACTTCCATCATTGCCTCAACACTCAGGCCCTCAAGCTCTTGCAAGTGAGTATTCAGGCGTTCGTTTGTTAGAACATGATATTCATATAATGCAAACCAGCCATTGACCAGTGGAACTTCATACAATGCATTGTGAGTTGCACTCTGTTTTGGTTTAGCAGCAAAAACATACGATCCTGATACCCTCTCACCACATTGACTTAAAGATAGAGAGCCAGACATACCATTCAAAAACTGAGAGCTACTTAAGCTTCCCTTTGCTTTATATTCTCTTATGGCTAAGATCGTATCATAAGCTAGACGTGCCTGGATCATGGGAGGTAGACCTTTCTTTGCAAGATAGCTATTTAATTTTCGTATGGGACTTTGATTTTCGATTCTTGTTCCAAAAAAAGTAAGTCCATAAACTTCCATCTCAGCTGGTATTCTGATATTTGAAAAGACAAAGGCATCTGACACTATCCATGGATGCTTTGTTAGGCCAGGATACTTCTCAACAATACGAAGTATGTATTCTATTTTTGACAGCCCATGAAGAACAATGATAGTAGACTTACTACCTGATATACTTTTGTTAAGGTTGTGCACCATTTCTCTGAGACCGGAATGACTTTTTCCTTCATATGAAACAGCATCATGAACTATAAATCCATTCCCATCTTCTTTGGAAAATCTTTTCGATACGTCACCAACGAGGCCAGTACCATCAGGATCACCATCCAATATCAGTTGTATGTGAGTAGATTTTAACTTCTTGGTGTTTTTCATGTCCACTGCCATGTCAAATAGAACTTCAACGTACCCACGATTATCCATAGACAGTCGATACAGTTGTTTCTTGTATTTGCATAGTCTTGATGCAGTGCTGGTGGGACTAAATAGAACGGCATCACTTGCTTCCTTTGATGCATATTCTGCAACCATAAGAGCCTCATCGCTAGTAACCAATCCAGTAAAAATCCTTGCTCCCTTAGCATACAATGCCTTGAAATGATCTAGAGCTTTTTGAGGATTTGACTCAGTATCATAATACTTGATTGATGGAATCTTGCATGTGAAACAATTGCCCTTTGCATCACTCAGAGCTTTTTCGAATCCTGCTTTTACGACTTGACCAAGAAATGCAGCGTTGCCTGTTTCTGGTATTAGTGCAGAAATATCAGCTACAGTGTCCACATCTACAAGACAAAATAAAATATTATCAAAATTTTAGCAATGATTGTCAGCGTATATGTATACCTTGAAACCAACTGTCTAGTGAGGCATCATCATCAGTCTCCTCAAACTGGGCAAACACTGTTGAGGCACTAATAATGCACAAAGCAAGAATGATAGACACATTTGCAAAGAAATTCATCATTTTGAAGTTTATCAGGAGCTCCCGTGGCCTTGATTGACAAATCAAATGAGCCTCATTTTATAGAAGAAGGCCACTATAATTAAATCAAGGACAACATAGATAATACAATACTATTGACAGCTATTGCATATAGTGCATGCATTCAAACATAACATTTGATGTAGGAGGTTCAGCAAGACAGAATAGCTTTTAAGGGTAGAGCAGGGTGAACATTATTAATTTCATTAAGCTAGACAGGTATGTGTGTTATACACTCCAAATTTGTTGATGTTTGCATTGTTTCCACAATTATATGTTAGGAAGTCAAATTAGTGAAGGCAGCTTGATGATACATAACTTCTGTGACATTATCAAATAAATCAGATTTGATTAACAATTATAACATTTTTTGGATAGATGTGCAGCATATGAAAATTTCTATCATCCATTCTGTATTATTTTCTCAATTTACAATAATTATATTTTTAGATGCACATGCTCAAGGTGACAGGTCACTGTAGTAAACATAATGGTATATAAGAATAATATATCTTTGATCAAACCATATGCATTACTGCTTTGATTTGCTAGTTTTAATACCTTACCATTATACTGAACCAGCTTCATAGTATCTATCCATGATCATACTTAAGTCATCATTTCCAAATAACTATTGTTCTTATTACATAAGAATGTCATACACTTCATCAAGTTGGGAAGTAAGTTTATACAAGTACACAGTCACGTAATACTAGTGCTTTAAACACATAGTCTCACCACCAGTAGTTAAATTATGAACATTGTAATACATTTGATAGTTAATACATATAGAGCATCACTCAAATACAACATTTGAGGTAGGAGGTTCAGCAAGACAGAATATTTTTTAAAATTAGAACTAGAACAAATATATTAATTTCATTAAGCTACACAGGTATGTGTGCTATACACTCCAATCCATTGATGTTTGCATTATTTCCACAATTATACATTAGTAAGGAAGTTAAATTAGTGGAAGCAGCTGGTATGATACATAATTTACGTGACATTATCAAATAAAGCAGATTCGATAAACAATTACAATAAATATAGACATAAGATAGGCAGCATATGAAAATTTCCATCATCTAAAATTTCCATTCTGTATTTTGTAACCATTAAAAATAACCCAATTTATGGTATATCACTTTTTAGAAGCACATATGCTCAAGGTTGCAAGTCATACTACACCTGTCCCTATTGTATCCATAGTAAACCATGTGGCAGTGATGGTAAGAATAATGTATTCTTAATCAAACCATATGCACACACTGCTTTGATTTGATGCCAGTATCTTACCATTATACTGTAGCAGTTTCATCATAGTATCTATCCATGATCATACATGTACTTAGCCATTGTTGGCCTTGCCCAGCTTTTTAAAATAATTATTGTTCTTACAAATTTATAGGAATGTCACACACTGACTTGATCAAGTTTAGATGTAAATTAAATTTATACAAGTACACACGATGAGTTTATGTAGACACAGTTGATGACTTAATAGCTTACTAAATAGTCTATCTTTAATCAGAACCAATAAATGAAGACAGAGAGAGCAAACAGAGAAAGTAAAATGGAAAAAAACAGAGAAGGATAGAAAGAGACAAGATGAGTGTTCAATTTATAGTCTAGCTATAGAGTGTTCTAGAATCATAAAGATAAGTGTAGGAAGAGGGAAGAATGGAGCGATGCAGAAGAGTTTAGAATTAACACTGCATGTAGGGATAAATCTAGAATACACTGTGCAAGTATAAACAATAATGTAAACAATGTGGTTACAGGTATAATTAATTAATGACACAGTACAAGTTCTTTCAGTGAATATTCTAATATACATGTACTTCAACAACACAGTCACGTAATACCAATGCTTTACACACACACACACACACACACAGAGTCTCACTCCAGTTGTTAAATCATGAACATTGTTTCATAATCACAAATCAAAGAAAAGAAATACATGCACATGTGTAGTTAATGCAATTGGACCATGTACAGTGCAATAAAAGTTGTTCATGTACTTCAGTTAGTAGAAGTGGATCAAAGCTTATTTTATTAGAACTTGTGACTTCAAAGTCTCAATCTGCTTGTTATTTCAGATAGAACACTAGAAGAAAAAATCAAAATTATAATGGGCAATCCAGCATAATTTTGAAATACTTTTCTGGGTTTGTTTTCAGTCGTGGTTCATGCACATCAGTGGGCTGAGACTGAGATACTGGTACCTAAGTATTGGAATAGAAACTGGAGGCAGCGAGGATGTTAAGGGTTCTTCTAGAAAGTCTCCGTCACCAACTGCCCCACCTACATCATCAGAGGGAGGAAGAGGATCATCAACATAATGAGATAATACTAAAAAAATTAATTCTTATGTACTTATAATTGGAACATATTTATTACAATGTACAGTATAAGAGTAAATGTTGACGGGGATTTTATATTGGCGGATTGACAGATTTATATAAAAATGCCAAAATAAAAACCGCAAGCAATAATTCCATTTATGTGTTAGACCACACCCACATTAATTTTAGTTAGAAGCATGGTTAAAAGCCGCTAGCTAACATGGCTTTACTATATTTCCTTAAGCCAGTCTCTAAACCAGGTGATAAAGAACACAATCTTCCAGAAAGGCACCGTCTTTCTCTAATAATACATGTATGTTGTACATGAACCACACCATACCGGCTTAAGCAAAACCCCACCTAAGGGTGGGGATATAATTAATTGTTAAGAAATCACCAATATTAAATCCACCAATAAACTAGCCATCACAAAACTGTCAAAAAACTCCCATCAACAAATCCTCTAATACGATATTAGGACATACATGTACAGTACAAAGTACAAACAAATAAAAATGCCAAAACACATTAAAAATATTTACACGTCATGTAAATGTGTGCCCTATGAAGGCTAAGTGAGTGATACACATGTACAAGTATAAATTTAAAATTTACCAGGAGGTACTGATGATGATGATGATGGAAAAGAATTAATTGGAAGGAGATCTGGAGAGGCCAACAGCTATGAAAAATAAATATTAAAATTAATAAACTGATTGAATTGAGCATGCATAAAATTCTTTTAGTGGGCGGGAATAATAAAGGTCCTTCACAATCACTTAACACAAGAAAACTAAACATATGTGATATACATCAATGAGTATCAAAAAGTGAAAAAAATTGTGGGGCCATTAAAAAAATGGACTGTAGTCTTTGCTTTTTCCTTACTTTTAAAATGGCTGTAACTCAAAAAATTTTTGTCGGAATGTTTCTACATGTACATAAGTTTGTATTAGAAAATGTAGATGCAATGAAAATCTGGGGTAATTTTGGAGCCTGTTTTTGTAAAAAAACCAAGGATAGCCTAGGATATTAATTTTTTGGTTTCTTAAAATTGCCATAATCCAAATCCATAAAATAGAAGTTGGAATCAGCTCAAACTTTCTAAACAGCATAAAGACATTTATCAAAAAATGTAATGACAATTTGGGGTGATTTCGAAACCATTTTAAAAAACCCATGGGCTATAGCCTTGGGTATTTTTCAGAATTTTGGCATTTTCTTAATATGGCCGTAACCCAAAAAAATAAAGTCAAAATCAGCTCAAACTTTCTACACAGCATAAGGACATCAATATGTATCAGAAAATGTAATAAAAATTTGGGGTGATTTCAGAGCCATTTTTCAGAAAAAACCATGGGCTACATGTATATATAGCCTTGTGTATTTTTCAGATTTTGGTGTTTTATTAAAATGGCCGTAACTTAAAGAATTGAAGTCAGAATCACCTCAAACTTTCTACACAGCATAAGGACATCAATATGTATCAGAAAATGTAATAAAAATTTAGGGCAATTTCGGAGCCATTTTTTGGAAAAAACCATGGGCTATTGCCTTGGGTATTTTTTAGATTTTGGTATTTTATTAAAATGGCCGTAACTCAAAAAATTGAAGTCGGAATCACTTCAAACTTTCTACACAGCATAAGGATATCAATATGTATCAGAAAATGTAATAAAAATTTGGGGTGATTTCGGAGCCATTTTTTGGAAAAAACCATGAGCTATATATAGCCTTGTGTATTTTTTAGATTTTGGTGTTTTATTAAAATGGCCGTAACTCAAAGAATTGAAGTTGGAATCAGCTCAAACTTTCTACACAGCATAAGGACATCAATATGTATTAGAAAATGTAATAAAAATTTGGGGTGATTTCGGAGCCATTTTTTGGACGAAAGTATGGGCTATAGCCTTGGGTGCTTTTTAGAATGTTGGCGTTTTCTTAAAATGGCCGTAACTGGAAAAATTGAAGTCAGAATCAGCTCAATCTTTCTACACAGCATAAGCACATCAATATGTATCAGAAAATGTAATAAAAATTTGGGGTGATTTTGGAGCCATTTTTCAGAAAAAAACCATGGGCTATAGCCTTGGGTATTCTTCAGATTTTTAGCATTTTCTTAAAATGGCCGTAACTCAAAAAATTGAAGTCGGAATCACCTCAAACTTTCTACACAGCATAAGGACATCAATATGTATCAGAAAATGTAATAAAAATTTGGGGCAATTTCGGAGCCATTTTTTGGAAAAACCATTGGCTATAGCCTTGGGTATTCTTCAGATTTTTGGCATTTTCTTAAAATGGCCGTAACTCAAAACATTGAAGCGGAATCACCTCAAACTTTCTACACAGCATATATACAACATACGTGTATGTAAATACATATGTGTATATTATGGTGATTCATGTAGTACAATTACAAGTACATGTACATACCTTTTCACACTCGTTTAGTCTGTCTTGTGCTGCGTTGAAGTCATACTTAACAAAGAGACAGTCAATCAGTTCAGTGATTGGATCATTGTAAGAATATGTCTCCTAATAATAATGGAACAATCACATGATAATCACATGACAACGTAATAAATAAATAATGTATATAATAGCGTGTATACATGTACATGTATTTGTTCGAGGTGATCACTGTGCAATTGAATGACTATATTCTTTTATTGTCATTAAAATATAGGGAAGCTATGAATCCCCTTTGACTAATGCTGCGTGGGAACAAGGCATCCCTTGTCTCTACTCCAATCAGTCTTCTAAGTCCACTTTAACTCTATCATTTTTTATTTCTGATTTTTATTTGCTGTCATTGTTATCTTAATAACTATGCTCTAAAATACCACACAAAATTAAAATGGCATGCATGTACATGTACTTACATTAAGCTGATGTACAAAACTTGCAAAGTTGTTGTGTTTGAAATACTTTGGAAAAATTTAGATCTATATACATTGTATTTTGAGAAACATGGCTCGTCTAGTACAAGGAAGGTCTTTCGACTCTAAAGGAGGTGACAATGAACACTAAAAAATATATGATGGTTATAATTAAAATCAAAGGAGCTACTTTTGAGGATGACCCACTACTCCCAGTGCTGCCATCAGAGCCTTCCATTTTGAGAAGAGAAGCAAGAGAAGGGAGACAATCACTGAATCAGGCTCGCTCGCAATCAGTACTCATTTTAAATGTAGGCGTGGTAATTAGTGTTTTAATACCACGCCTACTTTTATTGAAAAAATTTGCAGTGCTTGACTGCTTGCTCATCATACATAGATAACAGTTACTGTGTGTAGTACCATAATGATTACATGATGGTTTATAGTACTATTCTCAAATCTCAATGTATGGAGTTGGATACATCTACTGTAATAATCCTTATTGCATAAAAAGAGCTTTAATGATGAAACAAAAAATTGTTGAGATATTCTTTGACAGCAGTTTTATGATAACACTGAACAAAGCAATGTGTTACTAAAAAATAGAACAGTTTACAACAGTAAAATGTTATATGCGTTAATATACACTGTATTACCATTACACTGCTTCTAACACATTGATAATATAATAATGGTATGTTTCTTGATTGGCACTAATTACTGTATGGTCAAAATGTTTGCATTCTTCAACACTACTTCCATCTAAAGTGTATTCATGCCAGCAGCACTATAGTAATACATCTTAACATGATTTTTCTTTTTAAAGAGTTGCCAGCTCGTGCTGTAAACTGTCTCTTAGTTGATTTTATCATTTTACAACAAGTATATTTATGTTCTTTACGTGACAAAATAAATTATAAAATTAATGGTCACGATAAAATAACAATTGTCTCTACTAAGAAATGCCTGATGATGTACAAAAACAAAACAAAATAAAATAAACTGAATGTTATCAATTGCAATTGTTACAAGAAGTTGGTACATCTAGACCATATTCCTTATAGCCTTGCATGTCTTTTCAGGGAGTTTGGCTTTACACATAGCAAGGCAGTTAGGTGGATCTAAAAGATGCACAAGCTATGCAACAGTTGATACATATAATCATACCTGGTGGTGGATCAGTGAGTGAAAGTATATATGTCCCTGGTATGTTACTATTGAGCATCATGCTAGGAGCATTTGTGACAGTAGTATTAAATGGAAAGATAGAAGGATCAGATTCTACATAATTGCCATTAATCAGTGAAGCTATTCCAGTATCAGCTGCTGTAATGTGTACATCAACATATAGAAAAATGCCAAATGTAAGATGTCCATTAGTGACAATTACTGTCTGAAAATTACTGCCCTAAAATAAATAAAGTGATTAGAGTGTAGCTAGCTATGATTAACAGTATATCATGTATTAAATAATTATACTAACTGGGTTTGAGTGATATTTTAGATAATCTATCCAAGTTGCTATTATTAATTGTGTAGGAGGTGATGTACTGCAGAAAGTATTAGGGAATGCTTCATTAATCTGACCCATTGCTCTCTTGATCAATGCTGGGTCATTAGTAGTCCTACCAAATACTTTAGTTTCGCCAAAATTACCTGAAGCGAAGAGTAAAAATAAAAAGATGCTATCTGCATTATTCTGAATTTGCAGGTACCCATTGCTTCTAGCCTATAGACAGTATATAGTGAATATAATAAACTGAAAAATGTTACTAATAAAATAAAGAGATAATGATTTAATAGTGTATAATCGCACTACATTACAAACTAAAGCACTAATGGTGTGTGCATGTGTGTGTGTGTGTGCAGCTACTAACTTGATATATTGTTGCTGTAATTCCAGCTGGACCAAGTATAACCAAATTATCAATTGGAGCCAGTAATGGTGCTGCGGGGAGGCTGTCTACAGTCATCATGTTGTCCCCATGTTCTGTGCCATAAAGATAGAAATCAGTGAGTGATAGTCCATTTGGAGTATAACATGTACTCAGTATAACCTGTAAAGATAGTACCATACACTATCATATATATTGTATCTTACTAGTATAATTACTGTCAACAATCCTGATCCCATTTTACTGGTTTTAGTTATTTCTCTAATACGATGAATTCAGCTCTTATTATCTACCGTCACACTTTTATATCATCATAGAAGCCACAAGGTATGTAATATGCAGAAACCAGTGAAGGGCCTTTGATGTGTAGACTTGCCATAGCTCCAGTTACAATACTGTATGCATGTTCACTAATTGCAGCCACCACTCCTTACCACTCCTTATCATTCCTAAGTAAGGTTTATTTACTGATGTTTCTACCACACCTGATGCTCGTTTGTACTTGACCAATCAAATTGTGTAGTATATTGTCATTCTTCACCACCCTTTATTATGCAATGACAACAATTGACTCAAATATCCAATATACTTGTAAATATACCTCTTTTTGAATGATTGCTGTCCAAAAAAATGTTTCAAAAATAAAGTTTTTCAGCCCAACCCACACCTCCAGGATGGCAGGGGGAGAAAAATTTTGGTCCAAAGCAGAATAGGACCATCTAAGGACCTTTTTAGGACTGGATAAGTAGACTCATTATAGCTCAAGGTACATTATACCCTGTCTATAGTGTCTACAATACATGGTCTTGGTTCAAATTTTGTGAAAATTGCTAGCTGGGAAGGAACTATTTATTTGTACATTTTCTGAGACATGTTCTAGAAAGTTTGAGCTGATTCTAATCAAAAAGTGCATTTTTACAAATTTCAAGGTTGTTACAAAAATCTGGCCAACTACCCTGTACTATCAACTAGCTATAGTTCTGTTAAAGGACTAGGAGATAAATCTTTTTTTAATTACAGTGTCTAGCAGTGCAGTTAGTATTGATAAATCCAAAACTTTTCCGTGCTATGAAATAAGATGTCTCAGAGAGAAATCTTAAATTTTCTCACACAAATTTTATTATTATACTGCATTAAAATATTGACAGTATGAGAGCAGCTAATCATTTAACTGCAGATTCTTACTCATTAGTCGTTCTATAATTATAGCTACAAGAAGCCAATTAACACTCAACAATTATTATATACTCATTACAGTACACGAGGTGGTGTGCATTCTTGTGATGCACACAAATACACAAATAACATAATATTTTGCTAAACTATTTTATACGTGGTTACCACAGTCTAATATGTGTGTGAATACAGTCGCTGCATTAATGCATTGTACTTGTCATTAATTTAGGGAAATGCTGATGACATATCATGTATTTAGTGTACTAAGGACATCAATATAAATCTTAAAATGTAACAAAAATTGGAGGTGACTTTGGAGCCTTTTTTAAAAAATATGGCTGCTTTATGAGCTAAAGTCACTTTTGCTTAATTTCAGAGCAATTTCAAAAATTCACAAAAAATCTAAATTTGATCAAAATTATCTCAAACTTTCTACACAACATAAGTACATGTATATGCATAAAAAATTTATTAAAATTTAGAATTCACTCCCTATCAATTTTGATAAAATTTGGCCAAAGTCATATAACATTTGAGGTAGGAGGTTCAGCGAGACAGAATATTTTTTAAAATTAGAACTAGAGCAAATATATTAATTTCATTAAGCTACACAGGTATGTGTGCTATACACTCCAATCCATTGATGTTTGCATTATTTCCACAATTATACATTAGTAAGGAAGTTAAATTAGTGGAGGCAGCTGGTATGATACATAATTTACGTGATATTATCAAGTAAAGCAGATTTGATAAACATTTACAATAAATATAGACATACATGTAAGATAGGCAGCATATGAAAATTTCCATCACCTAAAATTTCCATTCTGTATTTTGTACCCATTGAAAATAACCCAATTTATGGTATATCACTTTTTAGAAGCACATGCTCAAAATTGTAGGTCACTACACCTGTCACTGTTGTATCCATAGTAAACCATGTGGCAGTGATGGTAAGAATGATGTATCCTTAATCAAACCATATGCACATACTGCTTTGATTTGATGCCAGTATCTTACCATTATACTGTAGCAGTTTCATCATAGTATCTATCCATGATCATACTTAGTCATCGTTGGCCTTACCCAGCTTTTTAAATAATTATTGTTCTTACAAAATAGGAATGTCACACACTGACTTCATCAAGTTTAGATGTAAGTTTATACAAGTACACAGTCACGTAATAATAACTTTACACACACACACACACAGTCTCACTCCAGTAGTTAAATCACAAACATTGTTTCATAATCACAAATCAAAGAAAAGAAATACATGCACATGTGTAGTTAATGCAATTGGACCATGTAGAGTGCAATAAAAGTTGTTCATGTACTTCAATTAGTAGGAGTGGATCAAAGCTTATTTGATTAGAAACTTGTGACTTCGAAGTCTCAATCTGTTCATGTTATTTCAAATAGAACACTGGAAGAAAGTCATAATGGGTAATCTAGCATAATTTAGAAATACTTTTCTGGGTTTGTTTTCAGTCATGGTTCATGCACATCAATGGGCTGAGACTGAGTTACTGGTACCAAAGTATTGGAATAGGAACTGAGACGGCGAAGATGTCAAGGGTTCTTCTAGAAAGTCTCCATCACCAACTGTCATACCAACATCATCAGAGGGAGGAAGAGGATCATCAACATAAGATAATACTAAAAAAATTATTTCTTATGTACTTATTATTAGAGCATATTTATTACAATGTACAGTATAAGATAAAATGTTGACGGGGATTTTACAGTATATTGGCGGATTGACAGATTTATATAAAAATGACAAAATAAAAACCGCAAGCAATAATTCCATTTATGTGTGTGACCACACCCACATTAATTTTAGTTAAAAGCACGGTTAAAAGCCGCTAGCTAACATGGCTTTACTATGTTTCCTTAAGCCAGTCTCTAAACCAGGTGATAAAGAACACAATCTTCCAGAAAGGCACCGTCTTTCTCTAATAATATGTTGTACATGAACCACACCATACCGGCTTAAGCAAAACCCCACCTAAGGGTGGGGATACAATTAATTGTTAAGAAATCACCAATATTAAATCCACCAATAAGCTAGCCATCACAAAACTGTCAAAAAACTACCGTCAACAAACCCTCTTATACGGTATTAGGACATACATGTACAGTACAAAGTACAAACAAATAAAAATGCCAAAACACATTAAACATGTTTACACGTCATGTAAATGGTGTGCCCTATGAAGGCTACATGTAAGTGAGTGATACACATGTACAAGTATAAATTTAAAATTTACCAGGAGGTACTGAATGATGATGATGGAAAAGAATTAATTGGAAGGAGAAAGGCCAACAGCTATGAAAAATAAATATTAAAATTAATAAACTGATTGAACTGAGCATGCATAAAATTCTTTTAGTGGGCGGGAATAATAAAGGTCCTTCACAATCACTTAACATAAGAAAACTAAACATACATGTATGTGATATACAAAAAAATGAAAAAATGAAAATGATATCAAAAAAATGAAAAAATTATGGGGCCATTAAAAAAATGGACTGTAGTCTTTGCTTTTTCCTTACTTTTAAAATGGCTGTAACTCAAAAAATTTTTGTCGGAATGTTTCTACATGTACATAACATAAGTACATGTACATAAGTTTGTATTAGAAAATGTAGATGTAATAAAAATTTGGAGTAATTTTAGAGTCTGTTTTTGTAAAAAAAAACCAAAGGCTATAGCCTAGGATATTAATTTTTTGGTTTTTTAAAATTGCCATAATCCAAATTTCAAAAAATAGAAGTTGGAATCAGCTCAAACTTTCTAAAGATATGAATCAGAAAATGTAATAACAATTTAGGGTGATTTCTAAACCATTTTTTTGAAAAAAAAAACAATGAGCTATAGCCTTGGGTATTTTTCAGAATTTTGGCGTTTACTTAAAATGGCTGTAACTCAAAATATTAAAGTTGGAATCAGCTCAAACTTTCTACACAGCATAAGGACATCAATATGCATTAGAAAATATAATAAAAATTTGGGGTGATTTCAATACCATTAAAAAAAAAAACTATGGGCTATAGCCTTTGGTATTTTTCAGAATCTTGGCATTTTCTTAAAACGGCTGTAGCTCAAAAAATTAAAGTCGGAATTAGCTCAAACTTTCTACACTGCATAAGGGGACATTAATATGCATCAGAAAATGTAATAAAAATTTAAAGTGATTTTGGAGCCATTTTTTGAAAAAACCATGGGTTTGGTATTTTTCAGAATCTTGACGTTTTCTTAAAACGGCTGTAACTCAAAAAATTAAAGTCGGAATTAGCTCAAACTTTCTACACTGCATAAGGGGACATTAATATGCATCAGAAAATGTAATAAAAATTTAAAGTGATTTTAAAGCCAGTTTTTGAAAAAAAACCATTGGCTATAGGGTACTTTTCAGAATCTTGGCGTTTCCTTAAAATGGCTGTAACTAAAAAAAAATTAAAGTCGGAATCAGTTCAAACTTTCTACACAGCATAAGGACATCAAATGCATCAGAAAATGTAATAAAAATTTGGGGTGATTCTGGAGACATTTTTTGAAAAAAACCATGGGCTATTATAGCCTTGAGTATTTTCAGAATCTTGGTGTAAAATGGCAGTAATTCAAAAAATTAAAGTCGGAATCAGCTCAAACTTTCTACACAGCATAAAGACATTTATATGTATGATAAAAATTTGAGGTGATTTCACAGCCATTTTTCCTAAAAATCTATAGATTATAATACAGGGTATATACATGTACATATGTGTATACCATGTACTATGAATGAAAAAAGTCTAGTGATAATTTATGTAATCCATCATATCTAACCTTTTTTTAGTTGTTAATGGTATTGTTCTTTTATACAATAAATGTACCATAAAATGAATGATCTATTAAATAAAAGGGGGAGTCAGTTTATAAAATAGGTGTGGTTAAAGCCACACCTTGGTTAGTAGTTTGTGCTGGTGCTTTTAATAGCAGTCTCTTGTTTTAAATGGAGGTTCTCTCTATAATAATCAATATCTAAGTAGTAATAACTTCTCCCTCTCTCTCTTTACAGTACACGCACCTCTTCAATTCATTCATCATTCCTTCAATACTAGTCTGATTCCCTTTAACAGAATGATTATTGAGGCTAGAGTATTCCCAGTAAAAGTTTGAATCAAAACTCAACAATGTCCCCACTGAGCACTTTGATCTGGTTCTCATAATTATAAGCCACACCCACCACAATGACCACATAAACATTGTCTTACCAAAAGCTGAGAAGAGAGAGAGAGAAAATCGAGGAGAAAACAAAATAAATCTCCTCGACTCGTGTGAATTATGTCAGCGTAATCTTCTTTGGTCACTTCCTAGATTAAACTCTCTGGTACTTCTTCTCTTCTTTTCTTTGTTGCTTGTTCTCACTGGAGTGTCTCCTGCTTGTGAAGGACCTTCAAAAGAAGAAGAGAAAGGTCACTTTGTGTCACTTTTGTGCTTACTTTCTGCCGCCATCTTTGAGGAATGCAATTAGTGAATGAGCCAGGCTCAACCAGCCCTTATTCAGCCCCACCCCCTACTACCCTAACCTTTCTGCAAGCTAAAAGTAAACAATGGCGACTAAGGGCAGCAACTATTCCTCTCCTCCTTCTCTCTTTTCTTCACCTTTGACTATTGGTAGGTAATATTCATTATAAGTACTCAGATTTATAATAATAATATTTTTAGAGCAACTTATTGATATACTTCACCTGTTAAAGAGATGTGGTTTCCCTCAGAGGAGATGGAAGGAGCTGGGACTGACAATAGGACTACACAAGAACACACTGGATGCCATTAAAATGGACAAATACACAACAGATGATTGTTTGACAGAGTGTCTCTCCCAGTGGTTGTCCAAAGCTGATAATGTTGACAGTAAAGGAGGAGCTACTATTGACTCACTGTCAGATGCTCTTAAATCTATGAATGAGAATGTTGCAGCTGACAAGTTAGATCAAGAGAGTAAGTTAATCACTGATTGTATATATTAGTATTGACTGTGTGTGTGTGTGTATTCATTATCTAGATCATAGTATGTGTTTGTCACTGGCTATTGATATATTCAACACTCGTCGTCCACTCCTTTCTCAGTCTCTCTCTGATCCTGTCAGTGTAGCTATTATGCTTCAAAGAGAGGGTGTCATAACAGGACAAGTATTGGCTAGTGTGGAATCAGCTAGTCCCTCTGTTGCTAGTCAACGTGAAGTCCTGTTAGATGCTATTATAGTAGCTATTCATGGTAAATATAGCATACTACAAACCTTTGCTAGTGTGTTGTGCAAATTCACTGGTAATGTAAAATTAGGAACAGTTATACAAAGAGACTATGGTGAGTTAGCAGCTAGGATTTGCACAATTATATTTTTTATCTTTTTAGACAAAGCATTTAATAACAAAAATCAAGTGATATCTGACGATGAAGGTATATCAATAGAATATTAATAATTTATTTTAATGATGATTTTTAGCTCAGGAATCTTCTGATTCTGATTCCAAGAAATTAACACCTACAAATGGTGAGTGGTAGTTATCAACAAATAATTATTAATTTGTATAATTATTAGTCACATTATGTCTTTTCTGCAGTTGCTCCACTTTACATTCCACAATATAAAAGTCAAGATTTTGATGTCCTTTCTGCAAAATTTGCTAAAATGTTTTCTAGCATTCGCAAAGTTATTTCTAAATGTCCTCCTCCTTTAGAAGATCTTAAGACATTCATTGAAGATTTTAACTCTGACCTGGAAGCAGAATTAAGTGCAATAAAAAATCTTCAAGGTGTCATGCGTCTAATTAGAAAAAATTGCAGTCTCATCAATATTGTAATTCTTGAAGCTGTTGTTGAGCACTTCGAGATTGATGATGCTCAGAAATACATTGATGATTACAAGAGGGAAATTGATGAGTCGTGTCGTAATTTATCAGTTGATTTGTGCTTGAATGAGCCATTTGATGTAGTTAGGGCTAGTCCTCCTCTTAAATGTGAAACAGCTACTTATGTACTTGGATGGGAAGCTACTGAGCATAAGCTAAAGGATGTTACAGATATCGTATCAAAATCTTCTGGTAAATTTGTGAAGCTGGTTGACATCAAAAGCACTCATTCCATCACCATCACATGCTCCTTCCCTCACTCTCTCACTGGAGCTCTCATTATAAAATTGAGTGAGAATCTTGAGTTATTAATAAAGAATGGTCTAATGATGCTTACTGTTGGGTACTGCACAATATGGAAGAAACAAAAGATGCAAGTATGTGTATGTATACTGTCTGTAATTATCATTATAATCCTGTATTATAAAGGAAATACAGGAACCACTGGAAGAGGAGATAAAGGAACAACCTCATGATACAAAGGTATAATATTTTGTGTTTGATTATTTTATTATTATAATCAATAGAGACATAAAGAACTGAAAGAAACTGCACAGCAACTAACAAACATACTTAGTGAAAAAGAAAAGGTACTTGTTTGTTGGTATTACATATACAGGAGGAATCAATTCTTCAATGTATAGACCACTGGAAGTGAAAATTGTTTGCGTAGGAAGATTAATAGAAATCTTTACGGCTGTAAGGCGTGATTTAGGATAAAATAAATTCCAGCCACCATTTTGGTTGGCACTTTCAATGGAGAACAAATGGGCCGACATAAAAACAAACCTGTATTAAGAATTCTGGAGCAAATTTGACCAAATCCTTTACAGGAGAAGCTTAAATGCAGCTGTTTTTTCCTATAACAAATTAACAAGCACTTTTTAGCTATTGATAGAGCTAAAGCAGGTAAGTGAGGCATTTTTTTGTGCCTCCATTGACTTCTATAACAAACTTGCCAACCAAAATGGCAGCCAGTTATGATGTGTGGGTGCCACTGGGCAGATACCGTATATAAAATTAATGAAATTCATATCTTTTCCAATTCTCACTTCCAGTGGTCTATAAGAGCATATTGTTGGAGCGTGTTGTTATATTAGTGTAACTTATTGATGGATTATGAATCACTGCTTATTTCACGATAAAATATTTACATGAAGGAATTGAATAAAATTAAGGAAGAAATACATGAAGAACTGTCATTAATAAAGAAAACTAAGGTTAGTGATAAATCAATATCAAATAGCTGCATGTTGAGCAACTCAAATAAACCAAATTTATTTATCTATTTACCATAATTTATCCCTCCAAAATTACCTGTTGTAGACAATATAAAATACTGTTGATCTAAATTAGTTATTAGTATATAGTGTAATACTAAGAGTAGATAATTAATTATCTACTCTTACTAATATTAATATTATGTTATTGGTTAAACCATTGTCTGCAGTAGTATAAAGTTATTACAAGAGAGAATGAGCCTAACAATGCTTCACCATGACAGTGCATCTACTCTGCTGATGATACATTTTTAGATTTTGTGATCAGCTAATTTTAAGTCAATTTGCTTTTAACTTTTCGTAACTTTGTGATACAATGCTATGATACTTATTATTGGTTAAAGAACAAAACTAAAATATATAATTAGTGAGATAAAAAGCAAAATCAGCAATCAAAACATATGCTGTATTGTTGTATAATAACTAATAAACTATCAATTGGTATCAACAAACAGTCATAAGCATTCACTAAAATTAATATAGTAAAGAAGCATTAACATTAGCTATTTATATCTGCAAATATTTGAACAATAAGTCTATTAGGACGTTAGTTATTACAAGTGGGAGTGATATTATATATGACACTGTCAGCATATGCACTGTCATGGTGATGCATTGTTAATGCATCACAATGACAGTGCATATGCTGACAACACTTTATAGACAGTGTTCCCTGCATCGGCTAATCTATTCTGGTTACTAGCTTCTGTAGACTTCTCTCAAATTGCTATGTCCAGTAAGTATTGCATAATGCCTAATAAAGATGACATTCATTTCATTCATTTAGCAAAATCTCAAGTGGGAACGAAGCAACAAAGTCAAAGTAGACATATTTTAATAAAATTGTCATGTATATGCATTTTTACAATTAGAAAAGTCTGATGTTGTAAAACTACCCAAAAAGAAAGGGCCACATTATCCATCATGGTTATTTGCTCATTTTTGTGATGAACTGGTCTCAATTCTCATTAAAGATCGTGATCTTTTACTTCATCTCACTGATTCTGTTACGATCAATCTACTGAAGCACCCAGTTGACATGAAAAAAATACAGCGAAATTCACATTCCATTATTGGATGCAAAATGCTTGCAAATGCTGTCTTGGAGTACCTTAGTAAAGCAAAATGTCCTGATTATGCCATATGTGATCTTTTGCTTATACTCGAAAGTGAAGGTAATGTAGAACTAACATCCTTAGTAAATGAAATCAGAAAACAAGGTATGTAAATTTTATCAACTAAACTCCTAAATTTATTTTCTACATAGCTGAAAAGCACTCATATAATATTAAGCCTAAGACCAATATCCAGGTTTTTTTATCAGTAGCTCATGGTTAGTTGACCATTAAGTTTTTGTTTGTTTGAATAATTTCTTTTATTAGCAAGCCCCAAATGTATTCAAAATTTTCGAACCAGTTTCCAGTTGCCTCTTGATCCAAAATGCTCTCTAATGGTAGTTTCAGAGTTCATACCATTAAATAAAGTCACACTGAAAGGCGAGAATACAATAGGTCAGATGTCACAATTGTCTATTGATGAACTCTGCAATGTGCCACCTTCCTCCTGGATACTAATAGAAGGTGTATCTGGCATTGGAAAATCTACATTAGCCTATGAAATGCTTAAGCAGTGGAAGGATGGCACTGCTTTGCAGAATTATTCTTATGTTTTATTGTTACGTTTTCGTAATGAAAATGTGCATCAATATTGGTCCCCATCAAAAGTAACACAATTAATTCAAGAGTGCTTAAATGAGCAATATCATGAGCAACCAGATATATTGAGCAACAGTGGCCAAGATTTGCTTTTAATTTTGGAAGGCTATGATGAACTTCCAAAGAAAGAGTTAGAATGTCACGCACAAGTTTTTTATCAATTGAACAGAAATTTTCACAATGCTGTGGTCGTTATTACAACTCATCCTTCATTTTCATACCAACTCTCTGATAAAATTTTGTTTGCAAAGAAAATTGAAATTATTGGATTTGATAAACCTAACCAAGATCAATACATTAAAGTAGCTTTTAAAAATGATAAAGCTAAACAGGATCAGTTTAAAGAAAGCATAAAAAGCTGTCCTATTATTGCACAACACCTTAGCGTCCCCCTACACTTAGCCATAATGATCAAGGTATTTTCAAGTAGTACACAAAAGCTACTACCTCAAACAATAACAGAATTGTACGAGTCTTTTGCAATGATCTTAATTTGCAAAAATTCACCCCAAAACGAAGAAAGTATCTTTAAAAAATGTTGTGAAATAGCATATGAAGGTTTACTCAAGCAACAAATAGTATTTGATTGTGATGAGACAAACACTCTTGGCTTAATGCAGAGAGAATCCAAAATACCAGGCAAGGATGGGGGAATAAAAGCAGTTTCTTTTCTTCATTTCAAAATGCAAGAATTCCTGGCTGCTTATCACATGCAAGCTGAATTTTTGTTAAAGGAACAAAAGAAACTTTTTGAAAAGTACAATAGTCATCAACAACTTTTTCCTACAATGCACTTCTTTTCAGGGCTCACAAAGCTTCAAAAAGACCTTCACAAAATTGTCAAACTGACAGGTGCATATACATTTCCCCTTGATCAGTTTTATCATCTAATGGAGATAAAAAATGATGCTCTGGTTTCTGAAATGCTGAATGAAAATGGAATGATTGATGTGTCACGTGTATCAAGAGCTATTACAGTGCAAGATTTCTACATATTGGGGAGATGCTTTGGCCTTTCTTCATGTTCTTGGAAGTTTGGTTTTACAATTCGTGGCTTAACAAGTGAGCATATGAAGATGTTTGTATCTGGCTTTACTGATGTATTACCTTATGTGCAATCACGACAGTCTCCGAATCTCGAGCGTATTGTTTTATCCCTTAACCCAATTGGTAATGAAGGACTAGCTACCTTCCTTAGTTTACCACGATCAGTTTTACGTACAATCACCGAATTTTTTTTACGAGCTGCATCGTTGATGAATAATGACTGTTTTAAAGATTGCATAACAAAATTTGAGCATTTTCATGCATTAGAAACTTTTCTGTTTCATGACAATGAGTTTAAAGAAGGTGAGCAGCAACAGCTAATTGATGTCCTCTGTACATTGAAACACCTTGAGAAAGTTTCCTTTTCCAGCCTCAGCCCTCAGGAATGCTTCACTCTTTTATCACAATCTCATTTAACTGAGCTGGAGCTTTATGAACTTTCTTTTGAATCAGTTGAAGAGTTGTTGATCTCATTAACTCAATGCATGACACTTAAATGCATTGAGTTATATCAGTCTCCAATAACAAAAGAAATTGTAGAGAGAAGTCTTCGACATTCTTTGCCTCACTGTACATTCAAGGAATTGAAACTGATCAATTGCAAAATTGATTCTAAAATGGCCAATTTAATTATTGATGCAGCTATGTATAGTCCAACACTTCAAGTTATTGATCTAAGTGACAATGTCATTGATGATGAAGGGGGTTGTTACATTGCCAGCAAATTGTGTGCACTTTATCAAAAGTTGCTGCCAAGTCCAGCAAAAAAAATTACACAGCTATTTTTACAGCATAATTGCTTCACTGAGACATCCATTAAAGAGTTTACATGCAAGTTAATTCAGCTACCTTATACCTTTACCATACACCTCTCACTGCAATGGAAGGATTACATTGAAACCAAATTGAGACATGTTGAAGAATTGCTACTAATAAATGTTCAAAATGATAATTTAGTTCTACAAGCTAGACACGAGCCACAACATGGCACCCAAGCTCCCAGTGCTACCGATAGTACTAATGAGGATGATACAGAGTCTGGCTGGAATAAAGTCAAAAAGAAAAGAAGAGGTCGTCCCTCTAAATAAACAATTGGTTTTAAACATTGCCTTTCCTTTGTTTGTCTCCTTTTATGGAGTGCTTCATTTTGATTATTTTGTTTATGTGATTGATATCTGTTTTTAGTAGCTTTAGTTATGGCTAGCTGTTATAAAACTGTAACAATACACATTATTATTATTGTTATTAACAATAATAATAATGTCTTATATTTTATTAATTTGTGTAATTAATTACTGTTTTGTAGTAGTAACTGACTATTGTAGTTATTACCTGGGCCTGAGCAGCCGGTTGTTTTGTTCTTTATTCGTCTGTGTGTGTATCCATTGTCTATCCTTGCACATGCTATTTTAGTTCTGGTTGTGTACTGTTTTTATTGCTACAAAGATAATTCTTTTTAAAACTGAGAATTGCTATCAGTCACTATCGTGGTTTGTTAACACATTAGTATACAACAATTATTATAGTAATTATTTGTAATACTTATTTATTATTATAATAACATTACAAAGCCCCTTAATGGAGCTGTCCTGTCCATAAATATGGGGTCAAGATCAATGTAAAATTTGATCTACTCATATAATTTTTAACAATAGTATAATGCTGTGATCAATAGCAACTAACTTTTTCTTAATTATTCTCAGGCATAAATTTTTAGGTCTGAATTGCTGCATGCATTTTAGTTCTAAATAAATGTCCAGCATCATTTTTCTCCTATTTCCAGTCAATACAAAAAGAAAGTGACCTCTCTCTTTCTATAGAAAAATGATTAAAATAAAGTCTGAACACTCCTACAAACAATTTTTTCATGACTAATATTAATATCATGTTAAGTTAAACAATTGTCTGTAATAGTATAAAGTTATTATAAGAGAGAATGAGCCTAACAATGCTCCACCATGACAGTGCACCTACTTTGCTGATAATACATTTCAGATTTTGTGATCAACTAATCTTAAGTCAATTTGCTTTGAACTTTTATACAATTTATAATTTCAGGTAACTTTGTGATACCATTCTATGATACTTATTATTGGTCAATTATATAGTACAGGGAACAAAATTAAAATATATTATTAGTGAGATCAAGAGTACATAATATTAGGTGAGATGAGAGGCAAATTCAGCAATCTAAACTTGTGCTGTGTACCCCATAGCATAATGTGCTTAGATTTGAGTAAATCATATCTCAGTTTATCGTGGTCCTCTAGTGCATTATTAATTAACAACTAATAAACTATTGATGAGTATGAACAGACACTGATGAAAAACCTCTTTTAGCGACCAATTGCAAATGCATTCACTAAAATTATAGTAGTAAAGAAGCAGTAACATTATAACTCATATCTGCTATTATTTGAACAATGACGGTTAGTTATTACAAGTGGGAGTGATATTATATGACACTGTCAGCACATGCACTGTCATTGTGATGCATTGTTAATGCATCACAATGATAGTGCATGTGCTGACAATACTTTATAGACAGTGTTCCCAGCATTGGCTAATCTATTCTGGCTACTTGCTTCTGTAGGCTTCATTATGTCCTGTAAGTATTGTATAATCCCTACTATGGATGACATTCTTTTCATTCATTTAGCAAAATCCTCAAAATCTCAAGTTAGGAAAAAACAACAAAGTCAAAGTAGGTTTATTCTAATAAAATTGTCACATTATATGCATTTTAACAATTAGAAAAGTCTGATGTGGCAGAGCTACCCACAGCGAAAGGGCCACATAAACCACATTATCCATCATGGTTATTTGCTCATTTCTATGATGAACTGGTCTCTATTCTTATTAAAGATTGTGATCTTTTACTTCATCTCACCAATTCTGTTACCATCAATCTACTGAAGCATCCTGTTGACATGGAAAAAATACAGCGAAATTCAATTTCCATTATTGGATGCAAAATGCTTGCAAATGCTATCTTGGAGTACCTTAGTAAAGCAAGACGTCCTGATTATGCCATATGTGATCTTTTGCTCATACTCGAAGGTGAAGGCAATGTAGAATTAACTTCCTTAGTGAACAAAATCAGAGAACAAGGTATGTCAATTTTATCAGATGTAACCTAAATTCCCAAATTTATATGTAGCTGAAAAAAACTCATATAATATTCAGCCTAAGTGCAATGTCCAGATATTTTTATCACTAGTTCATGGTTAGTTACCTATGCTAAGTTTTATTTGTTTGAATATTTCTTTTTATTAGTAAGCCAATCATCCAAGTGCATTGAAAATTTTCGAAGCAGTTTCCAGTTGCCTCTTGATCCAAAATGTTCTCTAATGGTAGCTTTAGAGTTCATACCTTTAGATAAAGTCTCACTGAAAGGCGTGAGTCCAATAGGTCAAACGTCACCACTTTCTATTAATGAGCTCTGCGACGTGCCACCTTCCTCCTGGATACTAATAGAAGGCATATCTGGCATTGGAAAATCTACATTAGCCTATGAAATGCTTAAGCAATGGAAGGATGGCACTGCATTGCAGAAATATTCGTATGTTCTATTGTTACGTCTTCGTAATGAAAATGTGCATCAATATTGGTCCTCGTCACCTAATGTAGTACGATTAATTGAAGATTGCTTAAATGAGCAATATAATGAGCCGCCAGATATATTGAGCAACAGTGGCCAAAATTTGCTTTTGATTTTGGAAGGCTATGATGAACTTCCAAAGAAAAAGTTAAAATGTAACGCACAAGTTTTTTATCAATTGAACAGAAATTTTCACAATGCTGTGGTCATTATTACAACTCGTCCTTCATTTTCATACCAGCTCTCCAATAAAATTTTGTTCACGAAAAAAATTGAAATAATTGGATTTAATAAATCTAACCAAGATCAATACATCAAAGTAGCTTTTAAAAACGATAAAGCTAAACATGATGAGTTCAAAGAAAGCATAAAAAGCTGTCCTATAATTGCACAACACCTTAGCGTCCCCCTACACTTAGCCATAATGATCAAGATATTTTCAAGTAGTACACAAAAGCCACTGCCTCAAACAATAACAGAATTGTATGAGTCGTTTGCAATGATCTTAATTTGCAAAAATTCACCCCAAAATGAGGAAAGTATCTTTCAAAAATGTTGTGAAATAGCATATGAAGGTTTACTTGAGCAACAAATAGTTTTTGATTGTGATGAGTTAAACACTCTTGGCTTAATGCAGAGAGAATCCAAAATACCAGGCAAGGAAGGGGGAATAAGAGCAGTTTCTTTTCTTCATTTCAAAATGCAAGAATTCCTGGCTGCTTATCACATGCAAGCTGAATTTTTGTTAAAGGAACAAAAGAAACTTTTTGAAAAGTACAATAGTCATCAACAACTTTTTCCTACAATGCACTTTTTTTCAGGGCTCACAAAGCTTCAAAAAGGCCTTTGCAAAATTATCGAACTGACAGGTGCATATACATTTCCCCTTGATCAGTTTTATCATCTAATGGAGATAAAAAATAATGCTCTGGTTTCTGAAATGCTGAATGAAAATGAAATGATTGATGTGTCATGTGTATCAAGAGCTATTACAGTGCAAGATTTCTACATATTGGGGAGATGCTTTGGCCTTTCATCATGTTCTTGGAAGTTTGGTTTTACAATTCGTGGCTTAACAAGTGAGCACATTAAGATGTTTGTATCTGGCTTTACTGATGTATTACCACATATGCAATCACAACAGTCTCCGAATCTCGAGCGTATTGTTTTATCCCTTAACCCAATTGGTAATGAAGGACTTGCTATCTTCCTTAGTTTACCACCATCAGTTTTAGGTACAATCACTGAATTTTTTTTACGAGCTGCATCATTGAAGAGTAATGACTGTTTTAAAGATTGCGTAACAAAATTTGAGCATTTCCATGCATTGAAAACTTTTCTGTTTCATGACAATGAGTTCAAAGAAGGTGAGCAGCAACAGCTAATTGATGTCCTCTGCCACGGTAAATTGAAAAATCTTAAAAAAGTTTCCTTTTCCAGCCTCAGCCCTCGAGAATGCTCTACACTTTTATCAAAATCTCATTTAACTCAACTGGAGCTATATGAGCTTTCTCATGAATCTGTTAAAGAGTTGTTCACGTCATTAAAAACCAAATGTTCTAAACTCATATCCATTGAGTTATATCAATCTCCAATAACAAAAGCAATTGTAGAGAGAAGTCTTCAAGATTCTTTGCCTGACTGTATACTCAAGGAATTGAAACTGATCAATTGTGAGATTGATTCTAAAACTGCCAATTTAATTATTAATGCAGCTACGCATAGTCCGACTCTCCAAGTTATTGATCTAAGTGACAATATCATTGATAATGAAGGAGGTCATTACATTGCCAGCAAATTGGAAGAGCTTCTAGTCTCAAGACCCAGACCATCCCCCAGGCTACAATTAGCTGGCGAAACTAGAGAGCTTCATAATTCAGCAGAAAATATTTTACAGCTATTCTTGCAGCATAACTTCTTCACCAAGAAGTCTATTGAAGAGTTTACAGACAAGCTAACCCAGTTACCTTATTCCTTTACCATACACCTCTCACTGCAATGGAAAGATTATGTTGAAACCAAATTGAGTCTTAGTCCACAAGTTGAGAAATTGCTAGTAATCGATGTTCAAAATGATAATTTAGCTCTAAAAAGAAAACAGCAACATCATAGCACCCAACCTAGTATTGCTTCTCTAACGTGCAATGATATACCAGCACGGCATGACGAAAGGCCAGACCTAGTTCCCAGTGCCACCGATGACACTGATGAGGATGATACAGAGTCTGGCTGGAATAAAGTCAAAAAGAAAAGAAGAGGCCGTCGCCATAAATGAACAATTGGTTTTTTGACATTGCCTTCCTTTTCTTGTCTCCTTTTATGGAGTGCTTCATATTGATTATTTTGTTTATGTGATTGTTATTTGTGTTTAGTAGTTTTAGATATAACTGTTATAAAACTGTATAACAATACACATTATTATTAGTTAACAATTATTATAGTAATTATTTATGATAATAATTTATTATAATAACATTATTCTATAAGAGCCTGTCAGAGATAAAGTATTGGGTCTTAATAGATATTGGGCCAGGATCAATGTAAATTTTGATCTACTCATATAATTTTAACAATAGTACATATATAATAATGCTGTGATAGTATCAATAGTAACCAACCTTTTTAAAATTATTCACAAGCATGAATTTTTTATAGCTCTGAATTGTTGCATTACTTCTGTCCAGCATCATTTTTCTCCTATTTCCAGTGAATGCAAAGAGAAAGTGACCTCTCCTTTTAGCGACAAATTATTCACAATATAGAAAATAATTAAAATAACATTTGAACACTCCTATAAACAATTTTTATATGGCTAGTGTAGTAACGGCTACTTTGAGTATCATAGTGATGGACAAAAATCAGTTACTTCAAGGTTCAACAAAAGACCATCAACCAAAATTAGAACATGTGTGTGGGAGTAGCTTAATTATATTATACATAATTAACAGTATGATTATTACAATGTACATTATTATTCCTTGAGCATTATTTAATATTATGTTATTGGTTAAACTATTGTCTGTAATAGTATAAAGTTATTATAAGAGAGAATGAGCCTAACAATGCTCCACCATGATAGTGCATCTACTCTACTAATGATGCATTTTAGATTTTGTGATCAATAAATTTTAAGTCAATTTGCTTTGGACTTTCCATAATGTCAGGTAACTTTGTGATACAATGCTATGATACTTATTATTGGTCAATTATATGGTACAGGGAACAATTAGTGAGATGAAAGGCAAATTCAGCAATTAAAACTTGAGCTGTGCACCCCATGGCATAATGTGCTTTGACTTGGGTAAATATTATCTACTGGTCCTATAGTTCATTGTTGTATAACAGCTATTAATGGGTATCAGCAGATAGTGAGATCACAGAAGAGCACTTTACCATTTATTTGAATGGTAACAACACACCATACACATGTATATGTCATTGCAGTTAAATTAGCTTTGGTATGCCATTGGGTTTATAGGGAGAACCCGGTTCTCAGGGTTCCCAAGGGCCGAGAAACCCAAGACCTGAGATCCTGAAGTGGCATTGGGCAACTAAAAACCTGTGAAAGTCATATCCTTATCCCACATTCCTATAAAAAGTTATTCCAGTTTTTCTTGGGTCAAAATCAATTGGGACATAGTATAGTGACCAATTATTAAGGATGCATTTACTAAAATTAATATAGTAAAGAAGCATTAACATTAGCTATTCATATCTGCAAATATTTGAACAATGACATCAGTTATTACAAGTGGGAGTGATAGCTATTTATGTGACACTATAGTAACAATGAATCACAATGACAGTGCATGTGCTGACAATACACTTTCAGTGTTCCCTGCATTGGCTAATCTATTCTGGTTACTTGCTTCTGTAGACTTCACTTGAATCAATATGTCCAGTAAGTATTGCATAATGCCTAATGTAGATGATATTCATTTCATTCATTTAGAAAATTCTCAAGTCGGAAGAGAAAAACAAATTCAAAGTAAACTTAATGTAATACTAAAAATTTAATGGTCACATTTATGGATTCTTACAATTAGAAAAGCCTGGTGGGGTCACAGAGAAAGGACAACATAATGATCTACATGGACATTTGAAACTGAAATATCCATCACAGTTATTTGCTTATTTCTACAGTGAACTGGTTTCTACTCTCATCAAAGATTGTGATCTTTTAGTTTCTCTTACTGATTCTGTTACTGACAACATACTGAGGCACCCAGTTGACAAAGAAAAGATAAGGCGACATTCACGTTCCATTATTGGATGCAAAATGCTTGCAAGTGCAGTTTTGATGTATCTTCACAAATCAAGATACCCTGATCATGTCTTATGTAATCTTTTGTTTATATTTGAAAGCAATGAAAAATTGATGCCTTTAGTGGGCAACATGAGAAAAAAAGGTAAGCAATTTACGTTGAATGAGTGATAAAATTTGCAAAATGATAATAGCTACACAATTTGATATTGAGCTTAAAGAAATATGTGATGTTCAGTTAGATCTATTGTTATCAGAAGCTCGTGGTCAGTTGATAATTTTGAAATAAAAATAATAATCCATCTGATTTCAGAAAGCCAGCCAGCTGCCAAATGTATTCAAAAGTTTCAAAGCAGTTTCCAGTTGCCTCCTGACCCAAAATGCTCTTTAATGGTATCTCAGGGTGTGCAAGAGTTCATACCATTAGATAAAGCCTCACTTAAAGGTGAAAGTCCAATAGGTCAGACGTCACGACTGTATATCAATGAGCTCTGCAATGTGCCACCTTCCTCCTGGATACTAATAGAAGGTGTATCTGGCATTGGAAAATCTACATTAGCCTATGAAATGCTTAAGCAGTGGAAGGATGGCACTGCTTTGCAGCAATATTCGTATGTTTTATTGTTACGTCTTCGTAATGAAAATGTGCATCAACAATGGTCACCATCACCTGATGTGCCACAATTAATTGAAGATTGCTTAAATGAGCAATATATTGAGCCACCAGAAATAAAAAGCATATTAGATAACAAGGGCCACAATTTGCTCTTAATTTTGGAAGGCTATGACGAACTTCCAAAAGGAAAGTTTAAGTTTCAAATGGAAGTATTTCGTCAGTTAAAAAGTGATTTTCATAATGCTGTAGTTGCTATTACGATTCATCCTTCATTTTTGTACCAGCTCTCCGAAAACATATTATTTACAAAAGAAATTGAAATACTGGGTTTCAATAAGTCTAGCCAGAATCGATATATTGAAATAGCTTTTAAAAATGACAAAAATAAAATTGAAGAGTTTACAGAAAGCATAAAAAGCTGTCCTATTATTAAACAATACCTCAATGTTCCCCTACACTTAGCCATAATGATCGAAATAGCTTCTAGCAGTTCACAAAAACCACTGCCACAAACAATAACAGAATTATACAAGTCATTTGTGATGATTTTAATTTGCCGACAATCAAAAATTGATATACTGGATGATTTAGATAGCCTACCTCTAAGTGAGAAAAGTATCTTTCAAAAAATCTGTGAATTAGCACTTGAGGATCAAATAGTTTTCGACTGCGATGATTCAAACACTCTTGGCTTAATGAAGAGAGAATTCAAAATTGAAGGCAAGGATGTCTGTATGAAAAGTTCCTCTTTTCTTCATTCAACCATAAAAAAATTTTTAGCTGCTTATCAAATGCAAACGGAAGAGAAGAAGGTTTTTAAAAGTTACCGAAATAATCGACAATTTTCAACCACCATGCACTTCTTGGCTGGGCTGACAGAGCTTCAAGAAAGCTTTGACACTATCAAGTTCTTGGGTGAACATATATTTCACCTTGATCAATTTCATCATTTAATGGAGTTGAAGAATGATGCTTCAGTTTCTAAAGTGTTGAATAAAAATAAAATGATTGAAGTGTCACGTATTTCAAGAGCTATTACACTGCAGGATTTCTATGTATTGGGAAGATGCTTTGGTCTTTCTTCATGTTCCTGGAAGCTTGGTTTTACAATACGTGGCTTATCAAGTGAGCATATAAAGATGTTTGTATCTGGTTTTAATGATGTAATGCCACAATCACAACAGCAACAGCATCCAAGTCTTGAGCATGTTGTTTTTTCTCTTAATCCAATTGGTAATGAAGGACTAGCTACCTTCCTTAGTTTACCACCATCAATTTTATGTACAATCTCTGAATTTTTTTTACGAGCTGCATTAATGAAAAATGGTTGCTTCAAAAGTAATTGCTTAAAAAAATTTGAGCAATTAGATGCATTAAAAATTTTTCTGTTTCATGACAATGAGTTTAATAAAGGTGAGCAGCAACAGCTAATTGATGTTCTCTGTACATTGAAACACCTCGAAAAAGTTTCTTTTTCCAACCTCAGTCCTCAAGAATGCTTCACGCTTTTATCACAATCTCATTTAACTGAACTGGAGCTATATGAACTTTCTCTCGAATCAGTCGAAGAGTTGTTAATCTCATTAACTCAATGCATGACACTTGAATGCATTGAGTTATATCAAAGCCCAATAACAAAAGAAACTGTAGAGAGAAGTCTTCAACATTCTTTGCCTCACTGTACACTCAAGGAATTGAAACTGATCAATTGTGAAATTGATTCTAAAACCGCCAACTTAATTATTGATGCAGCTACGCATAGTCCAACTCTCCAAGTTATTGATCTAAGTGACAATGTCATTGATGATAAAGGAGGTTGTTACATTGCCAGCAAATTGGAAGAGCTTCTAGTCTCAAGACCAAGACCATCCCCCAGGCTACAATTAGCTGGCGAAACTAGAGAGCTTCATAATTCAGCAGAAAATATTTTACAGCTATTCTTGCAGCATAACTTCTTTGCCAAGAAGTCTATTGAAGAGTTCACAGGCAAGCTAACCCAGTTACCTTATGCCTTTACCATACACCTCTCACTGCAATGGAAGGATTACGTTGAAACCAAATTGAGACATGTTGAAGAATTGCTACTAATAAATGTTCAAAATGATAATTTAGTTCTACAAACTAGACAGCAGCCACAGCATACATATAGCACCCAAGCACCTAGTGCCACCAATGGTACTGATAAGGATGATACAGGGTCTGGTTGGATTGAAGTCAAAAATCCTAGAAGAGGTCGTCCCCATAAATGAACAATAATTACTGGTTTAATAACACTGCCTTCCTTTGTTTGTTTCCTTTTATGAAGTGCTTCATTTTGACAATTTTGTTTATGTGATTGTTATTTGTGTTTAGTAGTTTTAGTTATGACTGTTATAAAAAAACTTTTAACACTATAAAAATTTCGTAAGTAATAACATATTGGGTCTAGTTTGCTTAACCACCTCATCAAAAATCTCTGTTTTTCTCTGGCAATCCAATGCTTCCACACTCCCTGATCACTATAGGACAACCTCTCTCTCTCACATCCTCCTTAGTCTCACTATACGTGCCTCTTTGCTATACTACCTCTTTTGTAGAAGGTTCCTCTTGCACTTTTCAATTTCTCTCTTGTTTATCTCTCCTTCCTTCACTTTGTTATACCTTTCTGTTTCTCTTGTTTTTGTCTTTGGGTTTAATCCACTTTATGTGTATGCGGACATATAGCTTATTATTTTGTGCATTATTAGCAGTTATGATTTATTATACAGTGCTAGGGTATGGTTGTTCCAGCTGTCATAGAGATGTTGTGCTGAGAAAGTATGTCCCATTGCTTTTTAAGTCCTAGACTCATCTATTATCAAGGACCTACTTGATATTATAATATGCACTATTTTCTCCCACCATTTTTCAAACCCCATATATACCAGTAATAATTTTCTTAATAGTATTTTTAAAGTATAGTGTTCTTTGTACATGTATGTGTACATATTGGGTTTTTATAATAAATAAAAGACTCATGCAGACACATTAGTGGGTAGTTAGACAAAATCTTTACTGGCGCTAACATACAAGTACATGTACATCAGGGTGCATAAATTTTAGGCGTAGTTAATGTGGCTGTCTCTGATTCTTCTAGTTCATATATAGATGTGCTCGGCAATTCTGCCATGCATGATCAATGTAAAATTTGATTTACTTGTATAATCTTTAATGATAGCGTTATAATGATGCTGTGATAGTATCAATAGCAACTAACCTTTTTTTATTTATTATCTGGCATAAATTTTGTAGTTTTACATAAAACGTCCAGCATCATTTTTCTCCTATTTCCAGTCAATGGAAAGAAAAGGTGCCTTTCTCTTTTAGTGACAAGTTAATAATGTGTTCACTATAGGAAAAAATGATTAAAATAAAGTTTAAAACAATTTTAGGACTAATATTAATATCATATTAAGTTAAACCATTGTCTGTAATAGCAGAAAGTTATTACAAGAGAGAATGTGAATATGTGACACTAACAATGCATCACCATGACAGTGCATCTACTCTGCTGATGATACATTTTAGATTTTGTGATCAGCTAATCTAAGTCAATTTGCTTTAGACTCTTAGTTTTCCTACAATCTATAATGTCTGGTAAGTTTGTGATACAATGGTATGATTACTTATTAATTTATGTCATTAGCAAAAATCCCAGAATCTCAATCCAAAAATATTACACAGTTATTTGCTTATATCTATGATGACCTGGTTTCTATTCTAAACAAAGATCGTGATCTTTTAATTTGTCTCATTGATTCTCTTACTTACAACTTACTGAGACATCTGGTTGACAAAGAAAAAATCCTGCAAAGTTCACATTCCATGGGATGCAAAATGCTTACAAATGCTGTTTTAACTTATCTTAATAGAGCAAGACATCCTGATCACTCAATAAGTAATCTTTTGCATATATTTGAAAATTACAAAAAATTGAAACCACTAGTGCACAAAATCAAAGAAAGAGGTATTTAAATGGTAATAATTAAGTAATATTTATAAACTAGTAGCTGAAATTAAACTTCATACAAAAATATGCAATGTTCAGTTACCATTACTTGAAGTTCAGGGTTAGTTGATGAACAATGAAGTAATTTCATTTTTGTGAATACTTTGTAGATAATGAGGCCAGGATACAGCCACTGCCATCAGTGCTAACACTAACTAAAGATCAAACTAATGTGAAGTTACGAAGCTCTTTCCGATTACCTCCTGACCCAAAACTTTTTTTAGCTATAGTTTCAGATTTCATACCATTGGATAGATTCTCACTGAAAGGTGAAAGTCCAATAGGTGAGACGTCACCATTGTCTATTGATGAGCTCTGCAACGTGCCATCTTCTTCCTGGATACTAATAGAAGGTGTATCTGGCATTGGAAAATCTACATTAGCCTATGAAATGCTTAAGCAGTGGAAGGATGGCACTGCATTGCGGAGATATTCATATGTTTTATTGTTACGTCTTCGTAATGAAAATGTGCATCAACAATGGTCACAGTCACCTGATGTAGCACAATTAATTGAAGAGTGCTTAAATGAGCAATATATTGAGCCGCCAGAAATAAAAAGCATATTAGATAACAAGGGCCACAATTTGCTCCTAATTTTAGAAGGCTATGATGAACTTCCAAAGGAAAAGTTCGAGTTTCAAGTCAATGTCTTTCAAAAGTTAAAAAGTCATTTTGATAATGCTGTTGTCATTATAACAACTCAGCCTTCACTTTCCTACCAACTCACAGGAAATATTTTGTTCACAAAAACAATCGAAATACTTGGATTTAGTAAGTCTAACCAAGATCGATACATTGAAATTGCTCTTAAAAATAACACAGATAAAATTAAAAAGTTTACAAAAAGCATAGTGAGCTGTCCTATTGTTGCACATTATCTCAATGTTCCCCTGCACTTAGCCATAATGATCGAAATATTTTCTAGTGGTACAAAAAAGCTGCTGCCACAAACAATAACAGAATTGTATGAGTCATTTGTGATGAATTTAATTTGCAGATCTTCAAATGATCAGACATTACACCAAAATTTCAAATGTCTGCCTTTGGAAAAGATTAGCCTTCGAAATCACTGCAAATCAGCATATGATAATGTATTTAAAAATAAGAAACACAAAATATTTTTTGATCCCAGGGATTCAAGTATAATTGGGCTGACGCAGAAAAAATCTAGAAGCGCAGTGGAAATTCCTTTACTTCACTTTACAATTCAAGAATTTTTGGCTGCTTATCATGTGCATATACAAAACAAGCCCATTGAGGAAAAAATGGAATTTCTTGAGAATATTAATTGTGAGCTTCCAACAACCATGTGTTTCATGACTGGGCTTATTACCAGTCATGAAAATATACAGTTAAATGAAAATAATTATTTTCAACTTAATCTCCTTCATCAATTAATGGAAATAAATGATGAGGCTCTAGTTTCTGAAGTATTGAAAAATAGAACAATAGAGGTGTCACGTCTATCAAGAACTCTTACACTGCAAGATTTCTATGTATTAGGGAGATGTTTCTCTCTTTCTTCATGTTCTTGGAAGTTTGGTTTTACATTACGTGGTTTAACATGTGAGCACATTAAGATGTTTGTATCCGGTTTTGATGATGTAATGCCTCAATCACAACAGCATCCAAGTCTTGAGCATATTGTTTTATCTCTTAACCCTATTGGTGCTGAAGGACTAGCTACCTTCCTTAGTTTACCATCATTAGTTTTACGTACCATCTCTGAATTTTTTTTACGAGCTGCATCATTGAAAAATAATGACTGTTTTAAAGATTGCATAACAAAATTTGAGCATTTTGATGCATTAAAAACTTTTCTGTTTCATGACAATGAGTTTAAAGAAGGTGAGCAGCAACAGCTAATTGATGTTCTCTGCCATGGTAAATTGAAAAATCTTAAGAAAGTTTCCTTTTCCAGCCTCAGCCCTCATGAATGTTTCACTCTTTTATCACAATCTCATTTAACTCACCTTGAGCTATATGAACTTTCTCTTGAATCAGTTGAAGCATTGTTGGCCTCATTAACTCGATGCATGACACTCGAATGTATTGAACTATATCAAAGTCCAATAACTGAGGGAATTGTAGAGAGAAGTCTTCGATATTCTTTGCCTGACTGCACACTCAATGAATTGAAACTGATCAATTGCGAAATTGATTCCCATACTGCCATCTCAATCATTGATGCAGCTATGCATAGTCCAACACTTCAAGTTATTGATCTAAGTGACAATGTCATTGATGATGAAGGGGGTTGTTACATTGCCAGCAAATTGTGTGCACTTTATCAAAAGTTGCTGCAAAATCCAGCAGAAAATATTACCCAGCTATTTTTGCAGCATAATTGCTTCACTGAAGAGTCCATTACAAGGCTTACTGAAGAGTTAGTACAGTTACCGTACAATTTTGCTATTCACCTCTCATTGCAATGGAAGGATTTCATTGAAACGGAATGTAGATCTAGTCCAGCAACAAATGTAGAGGAATCATCAGATGATAATGAAAATGATTTAATTCTACGTGGCAACAACAACATAAAACCCAATACAGAGTGGACTACAGTTCAATGTTAAGTAGCTCCCATAAATGAACAGTCTTAATAGCTCCCCGATAATTATATACATGTAGTACACTTTATTAACTTTTATTACTTTTTACTCTTCAGTGTGCATGATCTATTTTATTTTTGTGGTTTTATTTCTTAATTATATAGTTTTGGTATAATTACAATTTTCTAATAGCATTCCAATAATGTCTTTTCCTTTTCTTTATTAAAATACTAGTGTGCATATTATCATTATTTAATTTTTGCATTCTTTTTACTATTCACATGTTTTTTGCTGGTGTTTTAGCTTTGATTTTAATTTTCATAACAACAACAATAATGATCTATTACAATGAAACTCACATAAAATGGATCGTAGAGTATTAAATTTATCCAGATTAGATCTAGATCTACATTATAGACAAATAATAATGGTGATGTAGTAAAAATAACTAACTTTTGTCTCAGACAATAATAGAATTGTTTTAATTAATTAGCTCCTCCTTCTAAATTGTGCCAAATGGCAGAAAAGAGTGTGAAGTCTTCTAGGGGTTCGACGTATTCTCCTTCTATTTCCAGTCAAGTCAAAGGCGAGCGGACCTCTCTCTTATCCCCAAGACTAAAGAAGAAGAGGAGACACTGCTACACTTGTAAGTGGCTCATAAAATCAAAAGGCACGCTACTCGTGTTGGTATGGCTCGCCTTGATCCAGTCTTTCGACCCGGTGGTAGCCATATCTCAAGCTGGCCTCGGGGATTCTAGTCTAGATACAGTCTTTCTAATATATACTTGCTGCTCTTTCCTCTTTTATCTCTTCTTCCCAGTCATTGGGCTTTATGCTGATATCAAATTTGGCCACTTGCGTGTTGGCCAGCTATTAGTCCTCATATGCCTCGCTGCCACCTTTCTAATTGGACTTGGCTCAGGACTAGCCGAAAATGGGACAGAGTTGTATGACATCATACCATTTAGCATTGGTTTTATAGTGGGCAACCTTTCTCAGACAGCGTTTATCATCGTCATGGCTAGTTACGGGTTTGAGCAGCTTTTAGGCGCATCAAGTGAGGAACTCGCTGCTTATGCACACTGGTATTACTGGTGCCGTATATTTGGCTGGTTTCTAACTGTTCCCGTGATATGCTCCGTCAATATTAAATACGGTGCCTTAGTTGTGTACAGCTTACACATAATAACTCTACTGATTGTCCTGATTTTGTCTTTCTTCTCTAAAAAGTTGGGAGTCTTGGAAATGCATTCAAATCTTAATCCAGTCAAACAGATGATTAAAGTATTCAGTTATGCCAAAAAATACAAGTATCCTAAAAACCGCAGTGCTCTCACTTACTGGGAAGAGAATTCACCATCGAGACTGGACTTGGGAAAGGAGAAATACGGCGGCCCTTTCACAGAGGATGAGGTAGAGGATGTAAAGACGTTTCTAAAGATGTTGCCTCTTGTTGTTTGTATGACTTTCTTTGTCATTGTTATGGATCAGTTCAATCCGTACTTCTTCATGGCCGAGGTTGAACACAACGACATGACATTCGAAGATTGTCTATTCTCTTCGGTTTATTTCATAAATAATGGAGTCACGCTACTAGTGATGTTTCTATATCAAATATTCAAGCCGAGCTTTGACTGTTTATTACCCACCATGCTGAGACGAATTGGCCTAGGTATATTCCTAATCCTTGTCACGGAATCCATTTGGTTGGGAATAGACATGGCCGGTCACTTCAAGTCCGATAACATTAATAGCACTTGTTTGTTTAACGTACCACAATTCGACTTCTACAGTACCAGTGTCCACGTCCATTGGGACGTTAGTAGGTTGTGGATATTGTTGCCTAAAGTAGTCATGGGTATTGCTTTCGCTATAGCTATACCAACCAGTCTCGAGTTTGTATTTGCTCAAGCTCCTCATTCCATGAAAGGTCTTGTTATTGGTGTTTGGTTCATGTCAACCGGCTCACTCAAAATGATCGGATTCAACATGCACTATCCTTTCAAGCTCCTTGAGCATGTGAAGCCAAACTGCTCGTTCTATTACTACCTCACTAAAACTGTATTAGTTGCCCTATCTCTTATCCTTTTCATTGCACTGGCAAAGTGGTATAGACCGAGACAGAGAGAATTGGTGTATAACTCGCATGCTACCGTTGAGGATTTTTATGAAAAGGAATTCGAAAGGAGGAAGGAGTACCAATATGAAGAGAGAAGGAGGAGGATGAATGGAATAATAGAAAGAGATGTAGCTACCCTTGACATTAATGAGTATCTAAGCACACTTTATTGATCACAGATTTTTATATTTTTGTGTGAATACATTGTATAGCAATAATAATTTTTGCTGACTTGCTGTAAAAATAATTAAACACAAGCCACACCTACAATGTCAAAACGTCTCTTAAGTTGCATCTCTTTTAGGGCAGTGCTGAGGCATGATAAGGTAATGTTGGTTTGATTCACTGACTTTATTTGTTTTAATAATATTGTAGCTTGCATGCAGATCAATAGAAAGGCAGTTCCCTCCGTGTGTGAGGCAGTATTGCAAGACCAGCACCTCAAACAGGAGTAAAGCTGTGAGTACTCTACTGTATTATCATAAATAAAGTGCCTTATGAAATGTTGTGTATACTAGCCAATCTCATGGACTTCATTGGTTGTTATGGGGCTAGCAGGAGGGGCAGCTGTACTTTATGTGAACAATTTGAAAAGACAAAAAGAGGAAGGTATATTATGTTGTTATTTACGACATTGTTAGTCGTTATTAATTTATTATTAGTAGCATAAATTAAAGCTAATAATTATATCACAATTTGTGATTTGTATCTTTTGTAAATAGAATGGGATTTGGTGGAATTGTGTCAAAGTTGATATTGTGTGTTTTATATTTATATTTATATTTATATATAGCTGCAGAGAGGGAAAGAACAAAGTCGTTGGGTAAAGCGTCTCTGGGTGGTCCATTTTCCCTCACTGATCACAATGGAGAGCGTAAGACTGATAAAGATTTCCACGGAAGATGGGTCCTCCTTTATTTTGGCTTTACCTTCTGTCCTGACATATGTCCTGATGAGTTGGAAAAAATGGCGACAGTTGTTAATCTTATAGGTAAAGTAAAGTAATGATTATCATTAAAAATGTCAGTAATTTTCAACTAATAAAGAATGCTACATGCACTCTTAGATCTAGAGGGAGTTTCAAAGACTCTTGATCTCTCATATTTGGTCTAGGTATTCTGTTATCTCCCATTTTTAGTGTTTAGTCTCATATTTAGCCTACAAAAGTGTAGGTGTCCCCATTTTTCTCCCAAAATTTATTTCTTGATCTAACATTGGCTAGTACTTATACTGTAGTCTGTAGCAAAAAAATTACTCAACGAATTAATGACCTAATAGGCTGATACTATTTTTATGTGTTTTTATAGATAAAATGGAAGGACTGCCTTCTATTCAACCATTATTTATTACTGTTGATCCAGAACGTGACACACCAGAAGTACTTAAGAAATACTTAAAAGGTTTGCCATCTTAATAGTTAATATTTGACTATACTATGCAATGTTTATCTTTCTTTATGTATGTATGTTTGTTTGTTTGTTTACTGGGGGCCAAACCAGTTTTGGCCTTCCTTTATGACTACTCTACTCTGTTTTGTGTGCCTTGTTATTATATTTTTGTCTCTTAGTTTCTGTGTGTGTGTATGTGTGTATCCTGTATACATTATTACCGTATAGCGGGTATATTCCGTCAGTTACACGTACATGTGTATTTAATTTTGTTTTTTTGTTCTCATTCCTTGTGGAACAAATATTTTCCAAACAAAAAAGGCGTTTCCTCAATGCCACGTTTGTAAAATGGCTGCTCAGAACGAAAATGAAACAAACGAAAAATTTCTAATCCTCCTTAGAACAAAAATTCTTCCAGATGAGATTTTCCCCGCTATACGGTAAATATTATGAAATACATGTACTGTATACCTGCTACATTTACATGTATGATTCGAATCATGAGCTGATTCCAATCACTATTTGCTACATGGCTCAATATTTATGTAAAATAAGATCTCCATATTTGGTAAGCGAATAAGATTGCAACCCCAACATACATGAATGTACATGCATAATAAGTTAGTATTTAATGCTCTTCAGTCCCATTAAGTGTTACAATTATGTAGAATGTACATGTACAATGTACATGTACATGTACTAGTAAAAGCTACCATTTGATATGTACCATGTAATGTGACTGACAATATGCATGCTGATCCTAATAATAGCAATAATGATAATAATGATAATAATGACAATAATGACAATTTGACTATAATTGACAAAAGGTCTACACATGTATTGCACTTTCTGTTGCATTTTATGTTGTGTTTAACTGATGCCGGTCAAAATTTTTTTCTGCCAAAGTACATGTTTCTGTACTGTAAATTTTTTCAAAAATAAAAAGGAAAGATTTTTCCATTTTAATAATTTTTCCCGATACATATACATATTTGTATGTTGTGTAGAAATTTGAACTGATTCTGAACAAAACTGAATTTTTTATGAATTTTTAAATTTGCTCCAAAATCAGACCAAAGTCCCTGTACTATAGCTTATTTCCGTTATTATTATCTCATTTATTAACTTGCTATTTATCCCTGTGTTATATCTATTTTGTAAAAAAAATTGTTTATTTAAGGGCTCAGTTCCCTTCTACACTGTACTATAGCACAGGGATTTTGGGCAAATTTCACCAAAAATGAAAAGAAGAGAATTCTTCATTTTTATATTTTTCTCTGATATGTATACGTGTTTGTACGTTGTGTATAAAGTTTGAGCTGATTCCGATCAAAACTGAATTTTTAATGAATTTTTTAATTTGCTTCAAAATCAAACCAAAGTCCCTGTACTAAGGGCAAATTTCACGAAAAATAAAAAGTTCATTTTTATAATTTTCTCTGATATGTATACATATTTGTATGTTGTGTAGAAAGTTTGAGCTGATTTTGATCAAAACTGAATTTTTTATGAATCTTTAAAGTTGCTCCAAATCAGACCAAGCACAGTGATTTTGGGTAAATTTTGCCAAAAATGAAAAGGAGAAAATTCTTCATTTTTATATTTTTCTCTGATATGTATCCATGTTTGTATGTTGTGTATGAAGTTTGAGCTGATTCTGATCAAAACTGAATTTTTTATGAATTTTTAAGTTACCCCAAAATTGGTTGTAAATGGTTATCGGCCAAATTTTACAAAATTAGACAAAAAAGAACTGGAACAAATTAAGGCTATATACAATAAAAATTGTCCATTCTTAAGTTGTTTATCAGATTGGAACTACATGTATGTGTAATTTTACACTTGCTCAAAAATTGGACACCAAAGAGTATTTTGTTAAAAATGGTTCAGAGAGAATTGTTCAGTTTTATTACATTTTCAACTTTGAGCTGTTTCACAAATTAAATATTTATGAGTTTTTAAAATTTTGAATTATATATTAGTTGCCGAATAATTTGTTTTTTATTGAAGTACCATATAGTGGGAAATTTTGGAGGGAATTTGGCATTTTGACCAGGGTTGGGGCGAAGTACATTGGTACTTGTACTTAAGTGCACTTAAGTACATATTTTTTGGTACTTGTACTTATACTTAAGTCTTTTTTAAATTTTACCAATGTACTTGTACTTATACTTAAGTATTAGTCTATGTACTTGATGTACTTGATGTACTTATAAGTCTTTTAAGTACTTTTAAGTCTTTTTAAGCACAGATTGTATAATGTGTATATTATTACCACAGCTAGTGTGATTACATGTACTTTCAATACTATATCAGTGTATCATAGAAAGCAAGTGCAAATTCTAGTTCACTACTTTGTCTTTAGCTGGGTAGTTGGCCAGTCTCTTCACTTATTTCTAACTGTAACTGAACAGGAGCTCATGTTTTGAAGATTAATGTTCATTACATGTAATAGTAATTGATAGTAATATAATTAAATCGACTCTAAAAAGTACTTACACTTATACTTAAGTACATATCCAAGTATTTGTACTTATACTTAAGTACTTTTGTCAAAAGCGATCATGTACTTGTACTTATACTTAAGTATTTTGTAAATGTACTTGGATTTTACTTAAGTACTTTACAAAGTACTTCGCCCCAACCCTGATTTTGACAGCCATTCACGAAAATAAAATTCGCCAATTTGAGCCATTATGCACATGCTCAATGGCACGTGGCCACTAATTCGCCAAATTAAAATTTGCTAATCACCAAAATTTAGCAATTTGCCAAATTTAACTCCCTCCAAAATTTTCCCGCTATATGGCATGGAACCCAGTCCACCAAATCTAATCTTTTTATGTACATGTACATGTGTATATGTCACAGTGTAACCATAACAATATGCCAGTATGTAATATATGTAGTTCTTCATGTAGCAATATTATTATTAATTTATTTTATCTCTTATAGAGTTTCATCCTCAGCTGTTAGGACTAACAGGAACAAATGAAGAGGTACATACAGCAGCTAAAGCTTATCGAGTCTATTACAGTCCAGCACCTGTTGATGATGATAATGATTATTTAGTAAGGAATGAGAGATACATGTACCTTATAGTGGTTTTTTTCGAGGATAACAAATTTCATACATTACATGTAAGACTAGTCTCTTGTATGCCTCATGTTGATACAAGAGTACAGCAGATGAGTCTTGAGGCAATAGCACTACTAGCAATTGAATCATCCGCCAGAGAACAAGTACATACATGTAGATATATGTACATGTACAAACCATAAAAAGGCTACAATTAGTTATTCTGCAGTGCTCTAATTTTGTGTACATGTACATGTATGCTGTACAAAATGCTGCCTACACCACATGTATACAAAAATTTTGCAAAATTAAATTCCTTGAAAATCACTTTAATACAGTACAAAATGGCTGAATAGTGGAATTTCGCAAAAATTAATCCGGCGAACTTCCGGATATGGGTCATTTGTGAAAATTATTATCCTCGAAAAAAAAATGCTATTTGATAGAGAGAGGGAGGAGAGTATGAGAAGGTGAGGATTAAACTAGTAGTTTACAAAATTAATTTAGTGACTTTTTGATGACCTTTTATTCCAAATACATGTAATTACATGTAAGAAGAAAATACGTTTTAGTAAATTATCATAAATTATTTTAGCAGTTTTTTGGTAATTGGCCATTCAATTTATTTTTCTTTTTCCACCTTGATAATGTCACGTCAGTATCAATTATTGTGGTTTTTCCATTTATTGTACACACAATTTATTATGACAATGAATAACCACCGCCCACACACCAGGCCTGCCTATGAAGTGTGATAGGAAACTATGGAGTAGCGTATTATTAAAACTGCCAATCAATGCTACATACAATGTATTAACAAAATTGTGGGGTAGTATCTTGAGAAAGTTAATTAAGTGTTATTATAATTAGCATACCAAAACATCTCATCAATAATAATTATTCTCTCCTGCTACAGGTTGATCACACTATTATAATGTACCTCATCAATCCAGAGGGAGACTTTGTAGACTATTACGGTCAAAACAAGACAGCAGATCAAGTACACGCTGGCATTAGCAATCAAATGCTTAAGTACAAACACAGGAAGTGATGAGAAGCATACAAACATCAATTGACTTTCATATAATAATACCATGTAATAATAAAAGTTAATGTTAATGTAAGAGGAATTCATTTCACACACATAAAGAGAATGCGGTAGTATAACAGTAAAAGCAGCACAAATGTCAGAAGAATGAAGGAACCAAGCAGAACATAAAACAAGCAAGAGAAGGGAAATATTATGACAGTTGATGTGAGTTACAGTACAGTGTGCATTGGGTGCTCTCTTTCTCTCTAAAGTCTATCATCTTCAGAGTCACTGCTGGACACATCATCCCACTGTGTCAATGGAGCATATATTTGTTGGATGACACTACTTTGAGGTTTCTTGAGTCGATACACACCAGCAAAAACATAATAAATGACACTGAAGACAACAAGGAAGAACCCGAGCCATCCTATAGAGTATGACCATCCTTGACTGGCTCCTTTGTTGGACTTCAATTCTTTTGTGTACACCAATAGACCAATGAACCACAGGAAAGCTATAAAAATACATAATGTAGTGTATAGGTAAAGGAAAGTAAGTACAATTGACTAGAATAAGTTACATGTAGGGTAGCTATATCAAGGAAATAAGGGAAGGTATTGGTACACTAAAAGGAGTCCATTAAGACGGAGAGAGATGGATGAAGGAGAAAGGATTGAGAGAAGGAGAGAGAGAGAGAGTGGAAGAAATTTTATTGCTAAAATCTCGTCATAACAAGATGACATACCAAGCATTCAATGACACTATAAGTGTTATAAATGGCTACCTTGTATTCCAAAGGCCAGTGCAACTGTGAATAAGAAACGAGGTTTATGAGCTATCAGTGCTACCATACCAACAGCCCAGCCAATCAATCCTGACATTAATGACATACACAGCATTGCTCTTACACCAATAACAGCACCTGTGAGTCAGTGAAGTACATACAACAAATAAAAGAATATACATGTACATAAAGTGACCATTACAATCAACACTAGTAGTGACTACATGTAGTAGTGAGTGAGTTGGTTTACTAAATAAAAGTTACAAATTATCGGCAGCGTTTTATTTTTAATGTTCTGTATTTTGGTGGCTGTTAGTTTGTCATGATTATTCCACAAAAATCACGAAATTTTTGGACCATGAAAATTTGAAACTACACAGTAATCAGCAATAATATTAGCTAAATATTAAATGCATTCAAAGTATCATTTTAGGTCTCTATTAATTGCTATGATTTAGATTAAAGGATCATCAGAGTTACTAAAGCAGTAGACCAACCCCAACACACGTACACTAACCTGATGGGTTTGATAGACCCTGACACTTCGTATTACTACAATTCTGCCACAGACCCATATGACCATTCTCCCCCTAATAACAAAAATAATATGTATAGTCGTTTCAAATTGAAATCCTAGAAAACAGATCTTAGCAACTCACCAGGTCTAGCCAATAAGGGCTACCAAAGCTAATAATATTCAATACACCACAACCGAAGGATAAGAGAACCTCCAATATTCGTCTCAGACTCTGTGAGTGCTCCTGCCACCACTTTCCTGCTGGCTCTGGACAAACTGCCATTGTAACTTGTTAATTTTAACCCTTTATCAACTAAACTAAGTTAACTAAATAACTGACGTGAACGCGTAGGCGGTTTGTCTGCAGACAATAACTTCTTGCAAGAAGTATAAAATAATGATAAGAAACATGAGGGATTTACAAAATTAAAAAAAAAAAATCAAAACAACTAATCCCTTTCATACTGTTTGGCTCTTTTTGACAATGACTCCAGATGAGCATCAGAGAGTTTATCTTTATATCTTTCCATGAGTGTTCGAGCAAATTCCATAGCAGGTTGAGTGCCTTTTTCATTAAAAATATTTAAGAAGAGGAAGAAAACAGACTCCTTAATTTTAACTGCAACTTTAACATGTTCCATTAATTTTTCCATCCGTTGATACTTATTTTGCCCAATATTTGTATCAGTTATAACACTTCTCTCTCTTTCAGTGATCAGATTCATCTGAAGCAGCTTGCTTGCGATTTCTGAAAAATCATCAGAAAAATATTCCTTAATCTCTTCTGTGCTTTCCACAAGAACTTGATATGCAATATCTAAAATAAAAGTATATGCAGTATATTAATTTTCATGATAAAATTCTATATGTGTATTCAACAGGATAAATTCAAAGCTATAGCACCACATATTCTAAGCAAAGTGCATAAGCCTATAATGCTGAACTCACTTGACTCCAGAACATCAGGTAAATGTTGTAACTCATCATGCCGTCGTTTTCCTACAATATCATAAATAAATTACAGTATGCATTAAATACTCAACTCTATACCCTTACTTTTACTTGTCTGATCTAGCCAATTCAAGCATTCAGGTATTTTTTGAGGTTTATGGTTAATAGTGCAATGAAAAACAAGGCGCTGTTGTTTTTTTAACCATGATACTACAGCTGCATGCCTTCCTTTACCACAGGGACAGTAAAATGCTTTTTTGGCTTCTCACTAAGTTTATGTGCTAACATTGCTGCATCAACTGCTTCTTCTACAGCCTCCCTTGCTGGAATATAATCATCTTCTGATTCACAATAAAGTGCAATACAGTTGACTTGTTCCACAAGAACAATGATACTTTCAAGAAGGTCTCGGCATTGTAAAGTAAAATAGTTTGAAAAGTTTGATTCTTCAATGACTTTCCACGAAGCTTTCTTCTCAGAGAGAAGATGAACAATGACTGCACAAAAGAGACCCATTGGACTAGCATTTTCAAAATAAAACAAAAGAGGTGTTGTGTTAGGGTAGGGATTGATGTCAGATACATCCTTTATTGGTAGAAGAGCTGGCATGAAGAAAGATTCTTTCTCGGGTAACTTTGTAGCAATCAGAAGATATTCAAAAAGACCAAGTAACTTTGCATCAAAATCAGAAAATGCCTCGGATATCTTATTACAACTTTTTGACGCCTTTTTAAGAATTTCAATGGAGAGATGACCTTTACACACGAGTGCTTTTTGATCAGGAAGTAGAAGTTTTGCTTCAGAATGAGCGTCACAAACAAAAACCAGTAAATCTCTAAGAATGTTAATGAGACTCTCTATATTAACAAAAACGAGATCTCCGGCAGGTGAATCAGGATAAAAGAGCAATTTATTGAGAAAACTGAGAAACTTAATAGCACTTAACGATTCTTCAGGTGACAAATTAACTTTTAATTGTTGGCCAAGCTCTTGACAATAAGATAAGCTCAAAAC